TGCGAAGTAGCCCGTCCTGAGACCATTCATTAATGTTCGTGTCAGGCAACCCCGCAGATGTAATCTCAACCATGAACATCCCCGAACAATAAGCGAGGAGGTGGTCAATGGGGCATGGAAGCGGGAAGTGGGGAAGTGAGATGTAGCCGAATGTAGCCGTTTGGTGTGCTACTCGCACCTTGAACTAGGCGCTGCAATTGCTCGTCCAAGCTCCACACCAAGGTCATCATGATCACCGGTGACAACAAGACAACAGCCGAGGCATGTCCAGTTACAAGCTCAGGCTTTCCGGCTTTGGTTCCGATTTGGGCAATGCTGATCATCCCGAGGGATGGGGTCAACTCACCGGCCGAGTTTGAAGACCCCAGCTGTAGGCATTAGCACCGAGTCGGCAGCAAAAAGCAGCCTAGGAGCTCTTTCAAGCATTCCCTCCCGGCACAAGTTCAAGCCAGCGAAGCACTTGCTTCGAAGGCCATCTCCCAGAAGCTGGGGATCCTGGCGCCCTCCGGGAGCCACAAGGAAAATTCCTTCACGGGCCAGGCTGGCGGGAGTCTTGCCCTGCTTGCTTCCGGGGTGCCCCACTGGTCCGACACGGCCTTGCTTGAAACATCTTGAAAACTATTGAAGACTCTTGATACCTCTCCACATCCCAAGATTCTCAAGATCCAAAAGGGCTCTCCTAGCCTGGCTTGGTGATGCTCGAAGCCTCTGCAGGAGTTCGAGGCGCTCTCCGAGGATCGCAAAGTCGAGGCAGGGCGGGCCGCAGCCCAGGGTCACGTCACTCATGTCTATGCGATCGCGTCCATTCACACACTGACTATAGTTTTTCTTAATACATGTGCGTAAGCCAGCATTTTTCTATTTCCATTGTTTTATCATGGACCTACGCATCTACCTACTGTACTGTACTGCACCCTATTGAGTCCCTCAGAACATGTCACAGTCTGCGGTGCTTCCCGAACCCTCAAAATATGTTGCTGCAGGTGCTCAGCAAGATCATGGAGCGCAGAGATATCGAGGGCGCCGTGTTTTCACGTACCTCTTTTGAAATGCAGCCCAGGTGTGTCTCTGTGTCTGTGTGTGTGTGTGTGTCATGCTTTTTTTCTGCCATGCGTTCGGGAAGTGCAGAGTGGCAGCACAACGAAAGCGTTGGTGAGGTCGTCTTAAGATAATTTGCAATTTTCAGCACCCCCAAGTCCTTATATAATCGTTTCCAAGCCATACACAATTTTATAGGGCCCCCAAACCTACCCTGGAGAATCCCGCCCCACCGTGGCAGTTGGGCCAGAGCAAAATGTGCATGTCCTCAAGTCTTGGGTTATTCCCTCAAACTGCCCGGGTGCTTCCTGGGCACGGAAGGCCCGTAGTATGATACCCCGAATCCGTTTCAAGAACCTTTTGAGAAGCTGTTTCGAGGTACCGAGCCCAAGCACAAGCAGCTTATTGCCGCTTGCTCGAGCTTCATCGGGATGTGGGTCACGTGTTGGACCGTGTTGGTTAATGAACTCACGCCGTGCTTAGGCTTGACGGCTTGTTGAGTTTGAGGTCGAAGCCGTAGGATTTGGAGTCGGAAGGCTTTGTACTGGCGTGACATAGCATGTGAGCGTGAGGTTCGATGTTGTTGAGGGCTGCTGGCAGGTTAAGATCCTCAAGTCGCTTGACGAGATTGCGGCCATGACCGGTGACGGCGTGAACGACGCACCGGCTCTGAAGCAGGTACGCGCAACAGTTTGGCCAAGTCACGGTGCACAACTTTTCCCTACTTCATCTTTTTCTACTGGTGGAGGTGCCGTTGCACTTGACAATTTTTCGAAGCCGTCGGCCGGTGATTTGCTAGGTGTCGGCTCGAGTAATCAGGGAAGCCTATGCATCCCGCGTAACACGTCGAGGACTCGTGTTTAGCTCAAGTCGCTTACGTTGGGGACGAAATGAACCCTAAAAGGGTTTCCCTTAATAGTAATTATTATAGTTGTATAGGGTATATGACCCCAATTTTAAGTTTATTAGGTCTCAAGGTATATAGGCCTGATCTAACGGGCCTCTGCTCTCCTTAAGTGCTTGTCAGCTGCGGCCCTGTTCCTGGAATATCGCGTACTGAATTCGGCACGCCCCTTTCTCCCGATTATTTCTGCAGGTTGCTATTCAAATACAGGGAACAGAATAGAGTATTGAGGTTTCCTATCAAACCCACAGGGGGAAAAAAGGTTTAGAAACAAAGGCCGAAGGAAAAAACAACATACAGGAAGACTGCCAGAAAGAAAAAAAGAAAGAAAGAAAGACAGACGACTTGCTCTAAGTAAACATGCGGATCCTTTACAAAGCCGTCACGCGAGAATTGTGTTGGTTTTTTGTTTTTGAGTTGTGAGGCCTTGCAAGCTTGCTTCACAAAGAGGATCATGCCAGAAAGCGTTCTTACGTAAAGAAAACATGCGAATCCTTTGGAAAGGCGTCATGCGGGCATTGCATTTGCAAATCGGAGGGGTGGGGGGATCTGCACCCTCTCTCCTTCAACCCGACCGTTTTTTCCTTCTGTTGAAGCCTTGCAAGCTTTATTAAAGAAGACAACGCCATGAAAGAGGACTTGCGTGAAGAAATCTTGCGAATCCTTCCCACACTCGTCATACGAGCATTGCTAATGCCCCCCTTCCCCCCAACCGCCCACCCCCCCCCCCTTTTTGTTGGTTTCTTTTGAAGCCTTGCAAGCTTCAAGAAGGTCATGCCGTAAAGAAGGTTCTCGTTAAACATGCCAGTCCTCTCCCAAACTCGTCATGTGAGCATTGTGTTTGCATATGGGGTGGGGTCCTTAATATTTCATGAATAAAATTTGAATTGCCTCTATATGGTATTAGAAGTTCAGAAATTCCCTGTGTAGTTTGAAAAGAAAACCCCTATTTCCGCTGTATTGTTACCTCAAAAAAAGGTCTACACCCTCCAAAATCCGAGAGGATTCCGACCATCAGAGGGTGCTGGTTGAAGCAAACAAATCTGGGGGTTCTCGATGGCGGCGGTTAATGTTCTGTACGTTCTCTGCTGGCTTAGACATGGGCTAAGTGGCTTCTTGGGATGAGGCCGACATCGGCATCGCCATGGGCATAGCAGGCCTGCGCTTCTTTTGCAGATGGGAGACTTGCACTTGGAGCGGTGTTTCCCGATCGATTTTGGGACTGCGACTGCTCACCAGCACACACGCCCCTCATGTGGTGTTCTGCCTGTGTACAGTGTAAAGCCCTGCTTCCCCTCATCCCAAGAGCTCAAACCATCGACGCTTCAAGCCTCAAGAAGCTTTCGGGTGGGAAAAGTCTCTCTCGGACAGGTACCGAGGTGGCCAAGGAAGCTTCCGACATGGTCCTGGCCGGGTTCTCAGTTTCTTGCATTTGCAGAGTTACAGTTGTGGGGGGGGGGGGGGGGGGGGGGCGGCTTGCGGGTTTTGGAGCGTTGCGCACGAGTGTTCCAATACCAAACTTGAATGCGCGTTAGTCCGTTCATGGTCTGCTCCGGTGTAGCTGTGGGAGGCCGACGACAACTTCACGAGCATTGTGGCCGCCGTGGAGGAGGGCCGATCCATCTACAACAACATGAAGGCCGGCACTGTGAGTATTCCACGCGGCTTTTCGATGCCACATCTACAGTAGTGTATGCAGATCATTGGCGAATACACAAGGTGGGAAAGCCGCAAAGCCTATAGCTCACAACGGTTGCTCTCCTTCCAACCTGCTCCTTGTGTCCCATTGGCTGGGCTCACTGGTCCGAGGCATTCATCCGGTACATGATCTCCTCCAATGTCGGAGAGGCTTCTTGGCTTGAGCTGCCAGGAATGTTTCAACAGAAGCCGCTGTAAAACGCACAAGTTGTTTCTAGCATTCTGGTTTCTTGCCTACAATAATTGATCACTGGTCCATGTTCAATCTCAATTTGCAATTGCTGTGCGGACATCTTGTTCATTTTTTGTCGTTGAAGTTGCTGATATTTTTCCTTGCATTGGATGGAGAGCCTGTGCGGACAGTTGTATCTTCGCAAAGCCTCGTCAACTTCAAGCTTCGTTACCGTAAAAGGTTCGTCAGCGAAGCTTCCTCAGGCAACCTTTGAAGGTTTGTGAACAAAGCTTTGTCAGCTAAGCTTCGTCAACGAAGGTTCCAACATCATGTCAATGGCCAGTTGTTGAGCCCTGCAAAGATCGTTTACTCTGTAAGTGGCATTCAAGCTTGCAACTCCTCCCTCATGCCAGAATGAACTCTTCACAAACCTTCGGTTCACATTCCAGGGATCGTCGCCACTGTGAAAGGTATCCTAAACCTGGATCGGTTCTAAAACCGAGGTCGCTGCCATCTTCATCACCGCCGCCCTCGGAGTGCCCGAGGGCCTGACGCCAGTCCAGCTCCTCTGGGTACCTCGGCTCAGGGCTTCAAGAGCTTGGGCAGCTTGAGTTGGCTGTCTTGTACGTGCCGTCCATGCGGTCCAAGTACGGCATCTAGAATCTAAAGGATACATGTTTCAATCCACTCAGATCCTTTTCTCGGATGTTTCTCCTCCAGGTGAATCTGGTAACCGATGGCCCGCCGGCCACGGCCCTGGGCTTTAACCCACCGGACCTCGACGTGTCTTGGAGCAGTTGGCCATGCAAAGGTGTAGCACGCCACGCAACTTGAACAGAATCATTCACATGTGCCTGTGTCATTGGTCTATCCAGTTTGTAGCAGTAGTGTTTGGAGTCTCAAGCTTGCAGTTTCACTTGCGACCAGCCTTGTTGCTATTGGAATCATGGCGAAGCGGTTCTACGCAGGCTCAGTGAGCGAGTTGAGAGGGGAATCGGAAGTGGGAATGAGCAACAGCTGCCGTCTGCTTCTTCATAAACAAACGTCGCCAACCAGCAGAACCCCAAGTCTTCAAGCCCAGGTGATGAAGAAGGCGCCCAGAAGGAAGGACGATGCCTTGATCTCCGTTTGGTCCTACGTCCGCTACTTTGTGGTCCATCACCCAGCTTCTGAGAACTTGAGGGGGCGGGGGGGGGGGGGGGGGGGGGGGACAAAGGTTTTTTCACCTGAGTTTACACGGGATGCTACCTGAAACAAAACAAGCCCCGAGCAGCTTCGCAGACAAATTCAGGTGGGCGCCTACGTCGGCTGCGCTGTCGTTGGCATCTTCATGTGGCCTGAGCAGCACTATCCCGAGACAGCTGGAGTATGGTGGCTACTGCGAATTGAAGGATAAACCAGAATCTAGTCACCTTGGATGTAGAGTTGCGCTCTCAGGTGCTCGGCATAACTTTACCTTCTGAGGATCCAGGCGCTTGAGAAAATGAGGCCATGAGACCTCCAGTGCACACCGTTAACTCAGATAACTCTTTTGCTCGATCGGGGGCCACGTGAGAAGCAATGTCACCGTGTACCTCTCGTGATCTGAGATCCTCAAAAAGTCTTCAGCATAAGCCAACCCAGCGAGAGAAGGTCACAAAGTCACAGAACATCGCAAGACTCATCGCAGGGGCTGATAGGCTTCACACGCCTGGGTGATCCTTGTACCCGAGGACTAAGGCTTCTAAGGACTGCATGCCGCACGTCTACGCCAGTTCAGAAATGTGCCCTCGGATCTATAAAAGTTTGAGACAAGGTACTGGTACATCCTGGATGTCAACGCAGATGGTCACAGCTTGGTCACCTTAGAACAGCTGCTGACATGGGGCAACTGCCAGCAATGGAAGGAGCTGACAGGTTTGATGGAGTGTATATCTCGCATGTGTAATAGAGAGAGAATTCAAGATCCATGGGTGATTTGCAGGAGTGTTTGTAGGGATGGAGCTGTCGTAATCCGTGACTGTTCGATTCATTGATGTATAAGCTCTGGCGATTGTACTTCAGGCGACCTCAGTAGCTGCCTAGACAACCTCTCAAACTTGTGAAGTGCTGAGAGTCGCAGGACTTCAGAGTAAACGACTGGGGTGGAATGAGCCGCCTGGCAAAGCCAAAGCTTAAGTGGTTTTGGGGTAGGATGTCGAGGATTCGGCGCTTATTCGCTCGTGCGGCTACTTCGGTGCTTGCTAAGGTTTGTAGATGGCTGTGCCGTGTTTTCGGGGGCCGCAGCCATGCCTGACTTCGCATCCTGAGATCATTTAGGCTTAAGTGTCTGTAGGCCTCTGTTCACTGGTGCCACGTGTCTGCTTCGCCGTTTTTACGATTCGAGCCTTGCGTTTCAGGCACGGCCCAGTCCAGCAAGCAGAAGATAACAGACTGCTATGGCCTTCTCAAACCCCTGGATTCTACTTGGCGCAAGCTGCACAAGAACTAATGAACACCACGGCCGTGAGCTCACCCCGCAAAAGAGTTCACTCAGATTGAATTCGTCGACGATACCGAGGCTTCTCTAGCGATGCATGCTCATACTTCACGGACGGCAAGGTCAAGGCTTGGACTTCCATTAGTGATGTGTCTGTGTGTGTGTGTGTGTTATCGGTAGCGGTTGCAGGGTTGCAGGCCCACCAGTGCTCGGAACGCGCAGGGTAAGGGTAATCAGCAGTTGGTTTTCTGAAGAAGGTGGCTAACCTCACCCAGCTAGGGTTGAAAGGTCACGTGATCGGCATGACTCGCAAACTTGAGAAGGTGCATGCGTACAGCTGATCGATGAAGCGTTGTCGATTGAGCATGAACACCTGTGCGAGCTGCACAAGCGGCAGAAACCGGAAAGATCAGGGACGCCAGAAAACCCGTACTAGCAGCCCGCAGTCAACAACACCTGGAGAAGCCGAAGTGTGCAGAAGTGGGGACAACTGACTAGTGGAGAGGCTTCCACACTCTCCTTGACGGTTTTGGTGGTCATTGAAATGCTCAACGCCTTCAACGCCCTGTCCGAGGCTGGGGTTTGGGGACTCTCGTGTTGTATCCTGCGTGTACCGAGATACTGTGACCCTGGTTTTGCCTTTCAGTTTATTTGTGTATAGCCCGAGCGCACTTGAGTTGAACTTGCTGCCAGAGATCTACAGATCTGCTTGGTGACTCTTTGTCCTCTCGAAACAGCGGAGGTCCCAAATCAAAAGAAAAGTACACCCTACACTCAGGAGATCCACAGCCGTAGCTATTCAGGGACCGACTGCAGAGCCTGCAGGACGGTTCACTGGTGCAGATGCCGCCCTGGGCCAACCCCTACCTCATCGTGGCCGCCAGCATTTCCGTTACGTGGCTATGGGGTTTAGGAGCTTTCTGCTCGAGCCCGGGCATTGGATTGTTTACTGGCGAGACTTATCCCTCGCTGTATTTAAGACTTTCCTGGAGGGGTGGGGGCCAGCTATGGGATGTTGAGCGATGACGAGGTGGGCTGCCACTTTGTCATCCTGTACATCCCTGGCCTTGCCTGGGGCTCAGAGCAAGTTTGGCGTAGGTCTCGGCAGGAGTCTGGGTTTGTCCGGTACAGTGTAGCTGAACTGCAGAAAGGTTCGAACGACCCACGCTGCCAATTGAATGCGAGCATCCTTCCTTCCGATGTTTTTTTAAGCCAACCTTGCCTCCTTTGGCTCTGCCATTGGCTCCCTGAGAGTTTGTCATTCACCGCTTCAGGGTTGCAGATGCCATGAGGCCACCATTTTTGGCGTCGTGCCATTGACGCTGCTCCTGGGCTTTCTTTGGTCATGGCTCAGCCTGGCTCAGCCGAAGCATGTTTGTCAGCATCAGACTCTGCCACATTCGCTAGTTCCGAGAGAGCACTTGCTAGCTTGCTGCAAGTATGAGAGTCGAAGCCCGAATGCTTGCCCAAGGCACGACTGGTTGCTGGTGTTGGCCTTCTCCTTCCCTGCGGCTTGTCAGCAGATAGAATCAATCGTGACAAGTAAGCTGGACGTTGTTCCTCGCAATTTGGTTTATGTTACCCACTCGAATAGCATCCGAATCTGGCATTGGCATCGCAAGCTGTTTGAACGAGTTGTTGTCGACCACTTTGTACCCAACAATTGTGATCCTTGACCTAACCACACGTCTTCGCACTCTCCCCATCTAGCCTTGCCAGCCTCGCCACAGGTCATTCTTATTGACGAGATCCTCAAATTCATCGGCAGAAGCAGTGCGCAGGCCTGTCCTTTTGTCAGGCCCCTGTTAGGCCGTGTGTTTTATCGCTCGCAGATCAAGAACCTGTTAAGGAACATTCCCAGAAAGAAGTGCCTGGTTTACTTACACAATTGCATGTGTTCCATGATATCCCTGGCATTCCTGGCCATGGTCTTCCTGTGCTAAGAATGTCAAATGTGGCATGTAGAACTTCGGCAAACATGTCTTCTCATATCTTGTTGTGGAGACCGGGGTTGGTTGCATTTGTTTGTGCTGCGGCACGGCCCACCCCAGGCACGTTTCCACTTTAACCAGATTACGCAGCCCCAAACCACAAGCCTGAATTGAAAACCAAAACCATACCAGACCTATCTCCAGGCTTTGAGCTTGAGGGTTCAGAAGATTTCAGGTGGGTCCATGGTGCACCCTCCACATCTCTAGGAAAGACTTGCACGGCGCTGCGAGTCCCCTTGACCCACCAACACCGAATCCAAACAGCTGAACTTGAAGCCCTGGAGCACCTTCGTTCCTTTTTGCTTGCAAAGGCATCCCTCAGAGAGAAGGACAAGGACGCCTAAGGCGAGAGCAGCCTCTTGGTGAATCTGAGCCCCGTGGACGTTGTAGGGTTTCTTTGAACTTGGGACCCCCAGATTGGTTGAAGCAATCAAAGCTTAAGGATGCCCTGGATGCTTAGCTCCATCTAGCTCCTGCACTTTGGCATTTTGTAGCTGCACCGACATGGTAAGGCTGACACACAACAACTGACACGCCGTCATGGCACGGCATTTCAAATGTGATGCGCCAACATAATCCAACATGGCAAGACCAGCTGAAGAACCGACGTGCCAACGTGCTAAAGAGATGTGCCCGTGGTGGTATCGGGTATCGCTGGGCGCAGACTGAGGCAAAATTGCAGGTCGACATGCAAAAGGTAAGGTGCCGGCCAGCATGTCAACATCATGTTTAACGCTCGCGTGGAAAAACGACACGCCGACACGGTACCTGGCGTGCTGACATGAACGTACTTGCCGACGTAGCACGCTCTTCTGGGCCGACATCGACCGGCAAGGCCGAGCGCCGACATATCAACACGCACCTGCCCCGCCGGCATGTCCAAACCACTCCGCGGCGATATCTCCCAGATGTTCGCTAGTTTGTCTTTTGCTTTTCCCTCTCAGTCTTGTCTGTCATGTTGGCGCGAGTGACGGGCTTTGCGCTCGCGCAGAGGCCTTGCTGGCGTAGAGTCTGAGTTGCGCTGTAGATTTCAGAAGCTCTCATGAAGGCTTAAAGGATCAGAGAGAGCCTGAAGGCACGTCAGCACGACTGTAGGAACATCGAGACGGGACATTGCATACCACCTGAATTCGCCCTGAAACGTCAGCAAGACTGTAGGAACATCGAGACGGGACATTGCATACCACCTGAATTCGCCCTGAAACCTTTTGAAGCCTGTACTCCTCAAGCCCCATCCTTGCAACAGCCCACAACCCGACAACTCTCGACCACCAAGAAAGAACTTCGCCGAGGAGCTTCTCGCCACTGGCGGTGAGGGCTCCAGGAAGATGCAGATGTCATAAGGAATCATAAGTTAATCAGAAGTCCATATCCCCCTGTGGTGTGGGTGTGGTTGGGGGGGTTTAGTGTTTAAGGTTTAGGGTTCGGGGTTTAGGGTCTAAGGTTCAGGCGCGTGGTGTGATTGGGGGGGTTGCAGTTCGGATTTGGGGCTGAAGGTTTAAGAGACCGGTCGCCCGTGCTACCCCTGCCCCCCCCCCCCCTGTGGTGTTGGTGTGGTTTGGGACCGGTATATATGTGTCGCAAGTCACATGGGCTCATCAGAACTCCCAGAGTACATGTTAAGCGTCGTTCTGGGAACCACGATCCTGAACCCAAGGACTGAAAGCATGCAACCAAACCCTAAATTGGGGTGGTTGAGGCTCCAGGGTTCAAAAGGTTAGGCAGAGTTTCCAGGGACTGGCGAGTGAAAAGCATCATGTGATCTTCAACCCTTTTGTGACGAATGATGTCTGCATCCTGCCCTGGAGAGAAGAAAATGCCAATTGGGCTTGAGCCCATCAGTCTAAACGTCACATACACGCTGCCCCAGGTGCACACTCAAGGGACTTGAGAGGGACTCCATAGAATCTTCAAGGAGTTCCCGGCTTCAGGGCCTGAGTCCTATGAAATGAGTTACAAGCTTGGGGGTATCGAGATTGTGTCTTTTGTCAATGGTATCAAATTCACCACCGCATTTGCACTGGGGCACGGGCGTGTGGACCACTCTGAGATTGTTGCTCAGATTGTCTGGGGTGGAACCTGTCGGCAGCAGTAACCCAGCTCAGACTGCCAGACAAGGCCTAGTAAGCAAGAGACTATGCTACACGTCTTTCATGACTTTGACCAGTCAGCACTGCGATTCGGTTCGGCTTCCTTTAGCATGCTATACTCGTTGCACAGACTTTCGCACTGGATTGTAACAGTAGGTCCGGCAGGCCCTCGCTGACACAGCTTCCACCTGGACATACTGGAAAGTCAAAGGAAAGGGGAACAGCAGATAGCCACCACGTGACCCACTCTTAATCACTTGCTGCTCAGCCTGATTATTGGAGGGCCGAACCATCCATCGACTCTATCCTTCCGTGAGGTTTCAAGTCACAAGCACCTGCCGACCTTCGGCAAGGGTTGCGATTGGCAATCTGCCATTTCCCTGTAAACAATATCGACCACTGAGAAGGCCATCACTGCTCGGAAACCTGTGACATGCAAAAGGAAGCAAGGACCAGAAGATGACCAGACCAGGCAATCGTCATTGCCACGTAGCCAGCAGCTCGTAGAGTTCCACTGCCCTGACCCCCCTAAGACCTCAACTTAGGCTCGCTGGCCGTGCAACCCCGATGAACTCACTGAGCCACACCAACAACCCGAACAGCTTTTTGTACTTCTCACGGGTTTCTCGAAGTTGGGCGCCCTCTCGAGCTACCAATGCAGTTGTCTAGCGAGTGCGCGAGCTTTTTCCCGCTGGAGGCTCCAGAGCGGACGACGGGTTGCAGCTTAGGATGTGCTCCCAAAGCTTTTTAGGGCTTTGGGGCTTAAAGTGTCGCACCTCCAAGACGGGACTTCAACCGTCAACTTAGCGTTCGAAGCGGATGGGTTTCGGCTTCCAAACTGTTGCGGATGTTGGGGTTGAGCGGGCTTCGATCTTCCACGGTCGGCTGGTATAAGGCTATGAGGTAGATCTGCAGAGTGCTGCAAGCATCTGCTGAAAATCCGCAGAATGCCAGGGATTGGGGCTTGGGGTCTCCCTACCTCTCTATCGTCAGTTCAGTTCAGCGTCTAGAAGGCCCGCACGCTGGCCGGCACAGGACGACAGATCATCGTTGATCCCCTGACAAACAGATGGGGGAAAATGCCAGCTCTGGGCCGCCTCAATTCGAGCCAAGTATGCTCCAAGTATGCTCCAGATGCCTTGGCAGGCATGTCACAGACAGCGGCAGGGCTTTCGACCCCAACCCTCACTCTGCTCAAGGACCCGAGCCCTCGACCTCCACAATCATCTTTGACATGGGTTTGAGATCAGTCAAGGTGCCTCTTATGCTGGAAGGCCTTCGTTGCAGGCCCCCTGAATGTGATGTCAAAGAATGTTGCGTTCTCTACGTTGCAGCAAGACTTACACAATGCTCGGGCCTTTAACCGCTCAGTCGAGAAGGCCCCCGCTGTCGTCATTCCCAGAGTTTTGTTGAGGTTGTAGGCGAAACAGCTATCAAACTAAAAACCTTGCAGACACCTGCATGCGACGGACAAAGAGCTACCATACAGGCTTGGGCCGTTGGGCTCCATAGTCGATTGAGGATTCAAGGTTTTGTGCTCCGAGGTGGAAGATCACAAGCAGTGCTGTGCGTAGATCGGGTATCATTGAGGGTTGCAGGTAGGGAGGGTGGTAGTACTTGCACCGTCAGTAGCAGGTCCCAATGGGATGAGGGGGATACCATGATACCACATGATACCATTATGGGTCACGAAGTGGTACCATCTCCAACGCTCAGTCCGGCAGAAAGAGGGGGCAAGACAGAGCAAGCCACGTGTCTCTGAGAGATGACTTGGGGCCTAAACTTCCCCCGCATGGGTCGTCAACACCCATAACATACGTAGGCCCCTTCAACTCGCAACGATCATGGCGCAAAGTTCCGTGCCGCCAGGTTCCGCCTGCTCAGCACCGTTATGGCTTTGAGCCATATGGGCAGAGATTCGGTTGAAACCCTGCTTCTCCTGTTTAGATAGAGTCTGAGTTTGGGTTTCTGTGCAACACGTGCCATCGAACTGACTACAGTACTTTACAACAAGCAAATCAGCAGGTGCAAGCGTAGGCCACGAAAGAGTCCAAGCCTTGCTTGACAAACTCGAGCGCGCGCAGTTGAAGGGAACAGGATTCTGGGCTTTCGTGGGGTTGGTATGGAGCCTGCAGAGTGCGCGGCCGTGGTCTCATGCGTATCCTAGTCAAGAGTCGGCGCCGTGCGTTTCAGGATGCTGCCCTACGAGCTATGACATCAAAAACTATCTGAGGCTTCATTGTTGCGCCTGGCAACAATGCAAGTAAGTGGCAAGGTGTTGCTGGGGATGCTATAGTACAGAACTTGTGAGAGTCTGTTAGAGGGTCAGGCAAGCACCCGGCCCAGGAACTCCCAAAACATGTCTTTACAGGGCTGTGGCGCCTGTTTTAATCTTTGCCCGTTCCCTGCAGGCGACACCACACATGTCAGCACTTTATGTGCCACTGTTGAATTTGGCTCGCTTTGCTGTGCTACATGCTACAAGCGCCGACCATCGGCGAAGGCGGGCCACCGCGTTCGAGCATGATCGTCTTGCACCTCTTAGTAACACGATCTAGAATGTATGGAAGTGTCAGTGAATTGCTGGGAAAATTTCCATGGACCATTCCTGCAGCTTTACTTGGCGACATCGTGCAAGAATTTGGCCCTGAAATGTCTCCCATGCACTGTCTTGGGCCGGGCCTAGGGCCGAAAGCTTGCAAGCATCAGGCTCCACCACACGCCGTGTGGCTCGGAGATCCTGGCGAAATGCAGTGCTTTGGCAATGTGGAATGAACTTGTCAGCAGAACTTCTTCCGGAAAGCAGCGCATGGGATGCTACATGCACCGAGCGAGAGGGAGGGATATGGAGGGAGGGAGAGGGAGAGGGGGAGAGAGAAAGAGAGAGAGACAGAGAGAGAGAGAGAGAGATAGAGAGCAGATGATTGCAGAGTACAGTGGAGGGGATGCGAGATGCAGAGTTACAGGTACATGGAGGACATTCTGGCTGATGAGGGGGAAACATCCACACGATGTACTCTCGATTCGTCGCCTCTCCTGGTCAGTCTCGCAACGGAGACGTGTGGACCTGGGCGCGCCTAGAGCGCGGGGGGCGGCCACGCCCTTCAAGCCACGTAGAAGAAGAAGCAGAAAAAAAGATAGAGAGAGAGGCGCGACCCCCTCTTCGGGGTTGTAAGCTCGGATCAAGCGAGCAAGATGGCGAAGATGGGCACCTGGCCTTCCTATACCAACCAGAACAGCCCGAACTGCACGGGGGCGGGGCCGGGTTCTTTCCAGGGAAGAAGAAGAAGGAAGAAAGGAAGACAGGAGGATCGAAATTGGGACTGGCCTCTCGATCGCCCAGACCGCTGACAGTAGGAAGAAGAAGAAGAAGAAAAAGAAGAAGAACTCACCCCAAACCATGTTGGCTCAAGTTCGGCAGGTCTCCCCGCCCCAGGCGTCCTTTGGAGGGATGGCTAGTGGCACGGAAGAGCCGTTGCTTGGGGAGCAGCGCCCTGAGTTCAGCCCCACGACACATGCCGTCATATTCACCATGACGAACTTCCTCATCTTCGCTGAGCGCGGCATTGCGTTTGGCATCGTGCCCATACTCATAGCTGCTTTCAAGGTGAATCAAAAGGAGGCAGGGATGATGTCATCAATCGCCATTGTCGGCTTCATGCTGCGCTCTTCGCTCGGGCCGCTCGCAAAGAAGGTCTCTATAAGGTCTCTCATCCAGTGAAGCTGATGGCTGCTGGGATGCTCTGTGTTGCCTTTGGGCCTGCTTGGATGAGCTGGCCAGCAGGTTTTTCAACGGCTTTGGCGAGGCTTTCCTTTGTACTTTGGCGCCTCCGATCCTGGATGATGTGGCACCCGAGGGCAAAAAGTCGACCTACATTGGATACTACTTCACTGCCATCCCTCTTGGCATGGCCCTCGGTATTGCTTGCACATTCGCGCTTGACAGCTGGGCGATGGCTCGCTTTCTCTTTATGCTGATGGCGTTGATTTGGTTTGCACTATTCCTGTTCTTCTACCTAAAACACTCGGCGTTCGCAAGTGGCAATCGGCAAACGACGGACACATTGTCTTTCAGTGGACCCATAGCCAACACCTTGACATCTCAACAGTGGCTGCTGCACGTTGTCGCTTACGGTGCGCAGACGTGGTTCCTTGGTGGCGCCTCTGCCTGGGCAGTTCAGTACATCTCTATCGTGTATCTTACAAAGGCTCAACTTGTAATTGGTGCTGGAACCTTAGGGACGAGCCTTGTGGGAAGTTCTCTTGGAGGTTACTGCCTCGACTACCTGAATGTGCGTTGGGGTTGGAATCGCCTGAAGGCATGCTGCTTTTTGAATTCAATCTTCATGAGTATGTGCGTTCCACTTGGTCTCATTGTGCCGTGGATGGAGCACCTGGGACCCTTCTACGCGGTTTTCTTTTTCATCCAATTTTTGAATATTTGCACCATGGCACCGATCAACTTGGGCATCATGGAGAGTGTGGCCCCAGCAGATCGCGGCACGGCTCTTGGCTTGGCCACCTTGGGCATGCACATCATCGGGGATGTGCCCTCAAACATTCTCTACGGAATGGAAGCAGACCGAATCACCAAAGGCGCTGCAGGTTTCACCAGCACGTTGGCTTGCAGCTACGAAGCACTTGTGGGTGACCAGAGCAGCCCTGTGGTTCATGGTATGTGGGAAGCATGTGAGTTAGGACAGCGGTCAGCCCTGGCCTTGCTCTGTTGCGGTATGTACGCATCCTTCTTTGTGTTTGCCATTGCGCTCTACGGCAAAAGGCAAGCTGCAGATCAGCTATCCGTGGAGTTGGACGGCCAGGACGTGATGTGATGGAGTTCGACTTGAAAACCCACAAGCCTACTACGAAGATTGCACTTGAGAAGGCGATCACGACTTGGTGCTGTGACCGCGGTTTTTTGGATTGTTAGGACAAAACTTGTAACGGAGTTTTGCGAGCAAATTTGTTAAAAAGATTTTCTAGTGATCTGTAGAGGCACCACGACAACCCGAGGATTGAAAAGGACTGTGTTTGGCTCGTCGGCCCATGTTGGCGCCTTTCATCTGGAGCAGCTTCCGAAAATCCAAGTGCTCCTCAGGGGCCTGCTCGTCTGGGATCTATCTCCCAACAGTCCTCGCATCACCCAACAGAATTTGCCAAACGCCCGCAAAATGTCGAGAGGACCAACAGCAGCAACCATCACAGAGATTTGAGCCCGAAGACGCCCAGCAAAGCCGCTGTCTTTTAACAAGCTCCGCAAACTCCGCGAACTCTGCAAGGTGCACCAGCTCCCTGGTGGCGGCGCTGGCGCTTTTGGCCCAGGGGGTTGAAGCCATCGTGGCAAACTCGCCGCCTGGGAAGAATTGTGGAATTTCTTGGTTCGTTTCAGGCAACAGTCTAGTCACTAGCAACTAGGTTCAAGTTCACGTCAACCTCTGTAATCTGCAAACCCTGATGAAGCGGTCGCATTGTCAAAGGCAGGACATATGTACCTGCCAACTCAGGCAGGCTCTGGCTGCGCGGAATCTCCCTCAGGGCAAGAATGGCCTACCGCTTCTTGGTGGCAGTTTGTGGCTAGAAGTGCGGAGCTTGAAGAGAAGTTCAGCTGTCCAGATGACGAGTATTTCTAGTGGAGTCCCCTTAGACAAACGGAAGACCCCAAACTTATCCAGACTCGCTCAGCCCCTATAATCGTTCTGACCCGAAGCAAAATGTCAAGCCTTGAGGCTGCACGAGGGCCCGAGGCGGGCGACAGAGAATCGCTAACTCGGGCGGCAATCCTGGGTAAAGCGATAATTTTTGCAGGAGTTCACTGATTGTAGCTTGCTCTTGGGTGGAGTTGCTGAAGGTGGTGCGAGGGACGTAGAGAGTGTCGGGCAGTGTCAAGCCAGTCTCACTCTACCTATATACAAACCGGAAGACCAGGCGCATCTGGTGGCGTGCCAGAAGAGGAAGAACCATCAAAGAAGAAGAAGAAGAAGGAGAGATGGAGAGAACTGCTCTCCTTCCGCGTACACACTGTGTCGGCTCGACTCTCGTGCCACACGCCCTGGGGGCAGCTCGCTTGCGGGCGTGGCCTGCCGAAAGGAAGGAAGGAAGGAAGCAAGGAAGGAAGGAAGGGGGTCTATTTGAGGGGACGTGGCGTCCGCTGCTGACCAGGGGGACCACTTGCGCTGGAACGGGATCGGAATCGGACGACTGGTGGGTCGAAGGGGAGGGTGCTCACTCTGTTACCGTAGTTCACCCACCCAGTTGGATGTGCACATATTATTGCTCACGTTTTGCCCTCGCCATTCATGAGTTTTGTTTCCGGAGTGGCAGCACCTGCAACCGTCCCGGCTCACCGCTGGCCACCTCAAACCGAGGAGTGCCTTGAGCGCAGGGCTTCGGCCCCACTCCGACAAAAGAAAGAACGAACGAAAAACAGAACGAGCATTTTGGCCCAAGCGATGAGCGATTCTTGACCTGGAGCCTAAGAGAAAGCTTCTCATCCATCCGCGCCGCCGTCCAAACTCATCTACGTTCTCTGACACTGCGCGTTTTCCTCGCGGAACTTTGTCCATTGGTCCACGACGCGACCTGCCACGAGGTGGGTCTCGATGTCGTGCTCATGACTCGTGCAGATTCAGCGAGCACGTACTCTGCAACGTCGGAAGGTGGCAGCGATTTTCGGCCAGAGTTGAGATGGTCAGGGGTTACGGAACAAGAAGACGCTTCGTAACTGACCGTGCAAAGCCTCGAGGGGGAGTTTGCGTTGGAAACGACCGCATATGTGATGATCACGATTCTCGACCAGTCGCAAGTGCACTGGCGTGTGCCAGAGTTGGGGGCAGGATCATACAACGGCCTGTCGGGCCCATGTGCAGGAAGGATGTTGTGCTGTATTGTCTCGCTGCTAACGCACAGCGAGGACGCCCCATAGTTCTAACATCACAGCCCTGGTCGAGCCGCTCACTGCCCCTGCTTTCTGAACTTGTACGATATTGACTTGTAGCGCACGTGTGTACGGAAAGACACGGTTGCGAGTGGACCCGCAACTGTGCCAAGCTCGAGCTATCTCGAGCCGCAGGGAAGCAGTGCCTGGAGCGCCTCCTTTCAAAAGCCCGCCCCCACCGCCCTCTAGGAAGTTGCATGATTCACGCACACACTTGTGCCCCTCCTCCAGAATTCCACCCTGCCTTCGGTAGCCCCCTGTTTTCAGGCCTCGATGGCTCGCGCGGCAGGACCACCCACGGGCCATGATTGTTTCAAAAACTGAGGATGGCTTGATTTCTTCTTCTGCAGTCGAAACTGTTGACCCATGACCCCGTGCACGTCGCGAGGCCTTCATCCGAAGCTATACTTGTAATCAGCACAAACAACCAGAGACCTCCCATCCTCAGGCTTGCGCACGCTTTGTTCCATCAGGATGCAACTTCTCACTTTTCCGCCAACCTTGCAACACCAATGGCTCGATGTTTAGCCCTTTACCCGCGCCGCCCAACCGCGGCTTCCTTCAGGATGAGCTTGTCATCGATGCCCGGCCAAAACCGCAAGGTGGCATGTGACTTGGCCAAGTCTGGTCTGACGCCTGACATTTGATGTGATGGGCATCTCAGGCATTGAGGTCTCTTGGCATGGGTTGAGTCGACACTCGGCAAGCTCAACCGCCCAAAGGCTCATCATGCAGCTGGTGATGATGGATGCCGGTGGCTACTGGGGCAAGATGAAGCTTGGCCTAAGATTCAGAGTTAGGGCCTTGTTGGAATAGAGTTCCCCATGGGACATCCTTGCGCCTTAGCTGCTTAACTTGCTTGAAAGGCTTTAGAACGGGAGTTTCAGCCCAGGACCACGAAGAGTTCACGTTAGTGAGACATCTTAGCAGGTTGTTTCGAGGGGGTAATCAGGGGCTAGCACGAACACTTCGCCCTGTGTAGCGCAGTCCGGTAGGTGGCCCGAGCAGCCAGTTAAGCCAGGTGGCAAAAGACTCTTTAATGGCAGAACAACTCAGAACGCCCAGGAACAAAGACCGGCCCCGATGGCTGCGAGCTATTCTTGCTGCCTGGCCAATGGTCTTTGGTTGTGTTGTGGCGGTGTAGGGTTTGGGGTCGTACCAACGTTGTTTACAAGACCTTTTGAGTATCTTTAGGCGTGCCAATGCCAGAAGTGCACCTGGGCCCAGGCAACCAATCGTCACCACGCTAGGACAGCATTGCTTCCGTTGAGCCAAGCATGACTTGGCTGCCTTTACCAAAATTTAAAAACTCCCACAATGTACGAAAGGTTGCGACATGAACAGCAAATAAAAACACCGAAGTGATCAACGCATGTACAAGCTTCAGCTATCTTTGTGCTATAGGAATGACTACTGATCAACGCCTACAGACATGACACCCCGAAACCCCAAAAACATGTTTGCCTTTGGGCGGAGACTTGGAAGCTTTGCCTGCCTTGGGCGAGTGTCGAGTCGAGTACCCTGGGAGGAAACACGGCCATGCCATGGTTATCCGATGGCGGCCGACGCTGCAGCTTACTGGCTGGCAGCAGCACCAGCGCCATAGTTTGCACATGCGGGCCATGCTGAGTAAAAGGCGAAATGTTGGTCTTTGGGGGTCGCAGGGCTTGCAACTCAGCAGGACCGCCACCAAGCTTTTTTTGTTCAAAGAGGTTTTGTTAAGCTGCTAAGCAAGCTATGGAATGGGAGGTTTTTTTTGCTGGAGCCATAAATATTTTTGTCGCCAGCGCCAGCACTCTGACAAAGCCCCTGCGTAAACCAAGCAATTTGTTCGACTCTGAAGAGCTACGCATTCGTGCCGAAGCCTCTGCCAAAACCCCAGACCTCCGGAACTTCTGCCCATGTTTCATTCTGCCGGTTTGGGCCGGACCAGAGTTGACGATTTCGGGAGGTCTAATCACTCTAAACTTGAAGCGGTGCCTTGAACTCCGCCTGAAGGCCCCCGAGGCCTTCGCCCCGTCCAGGTGCGAGCATGGCAAGAACAGCATCCAAAGCAGGGAGGAGTGCATCAAGCGCACCCTGGCAAGTTGTACTGCGCAGCTTTGTCCTGGTGGGGGCTATTACTTTTAGGGGGGGGCGGGGTGGCTTGTGCAGAGGTAGAAGATTGCGGTGAGGCCATGTAGCTCAGGTTTCGCCATCTTCCGTCGAGGCACCCTTAAGACCCAACGTTCGCCAACCGTCAGGCTGGGAGAGGGAAAACTTCTGCTGGGAGAAGTTCCCCTTCTTCGTGGTCGCCTGGCGTCAGGTTGCGCATGTCTATGATCGAAAGACACATTTTTCCTTTTGGGAGATGATCCCTGAATAGACTCTCGACAAGCTTGCGGGCGGAATTGTTCAACCACGGGAACTCCGAACCGTCTTTTCTCCTAACCGTCCCAACCCAGCGTATTCGGTTGCTCAGGACTACCTCCTCAGTGAGCAGAGGTTCACCCACATGGTGCTTCTGGATGCAGATGCTGCGCTCGTCAGGCTGCCAGAAGGTTGAGCGTGCTCCGCGACGCAGTCACGACACTTTCTCGTATTACAAGGGTTTTTTTGAGGCTAAGGCGTGGAGCTGGCATAAGCCTGTGCAATGAAGCAGAATCGAATCTAATGTATCTCTGGAAGTCGGGCATCCAGCTTCTCTGGCAAAGGTAGCTGAAGAGAATGTTTTTAGGTTAAAGTCGTTAATGACAGCAGGCACAACATGAACATCCTCGGGGGCATTGCCGACCAGATGCGTGATCAGAATGTGGACGTGCACCTTGGTACGTTATTGTGAATGGTTTAGGTGCCCGGGCACTGAGAAGCCTAAACGCACCACCCATTCTGGAGGTCAGTTAGAAGACAGGAAATTGTTGCCATCTCCCAAGTCGCAGTAAACTCTCCTCCCCCTCAATGTGCCCAAAAAGGGCCACCTCGACCTGAGCCCTCAACCTCTCAAAAGCCTGAACTTCTGAACCGTCCCCCCCCCCCCCCCCCCCCACACGGTACAGGGATCTCAGGAGGCCTTTTACAAAGAGCCTCCTCCTAAGGTTCCTCACAAACGAGGACTGGCTCAAGAACGGCAGCTTGGATTGAAAAACGGCCGGGAGTGGGTCCCCTAGTCAAACAGAGTGCAGATAGGCTTTTTGAGATCTTTAGGAGTGCACAATTCAGTCTCGTAACAAGTCGTTGCGCTGTTTGCGCTGATCCGTAGCCCAAGGCAAGGAGCGCATCAATGGCGGCGTGATCATGGCGGGGAGCTGAAGTGTAGAATTCACAACTGAGTTGGTCAAGCCGCGTTGCCTAGGAGCTCGGAAGCTTGCGAGGTTCCGGGGTAAGATTTGGGTTTCAGGATGGCTTGTGGGGGCGCACGACGGAGGGGTTCCACGGCTCTGAATCTGCATTCCTGTGTTCCGCTGCACGGTCCACCAGCATCCGCCTCATCAGTTTGAGCCTCTTTTGGGGCCTTAACCAAAATGTGGAACCAGCTTCTTGCCGGTTCTGCACTGCTTTGAGAAGTCAGGGTTGCGGGGGGGGGGGGGAGGGGGGGAGAGATTTTCCTTTCAATCGAGGGTTCCAGAGATCGCCAAGGCCAGAAACACGAAGTGGGCAGAAGACATGTTCCAGGCGGCTGCATCCAAGTCATTAGCTTGTGTGAGCTCTAAAACTTTGAGACTTCAGTCCCGACTGGAGCTCAGCCATCCCTACACGCCTAGACCTTAAAGCCGCAACAGCGACACCGTGCCACAGTTTGTATTATCGGTTTGAAGGCTGACTATTTTAAAGATAGAAAACTCTATTTGTTGTGTTTCTTCTCTCTGTTTTTGTTTTTCCTCTCTCTCTCTCTCTCTGTTACACCACGGCTCCGACTGTTTCACCTGACAAAACACTGAAGCTTGACCACTGATAGCCCTAGATCTGCTGGAGAATGGAGTACGCATGAGTATGCTCTGAGTGCCTGGTTCGCTGCGTGCTAAGTTTGATCGTCACTTAGTCGGCTTTGCCGTTGGGAGATGACATGAGATGTTCATCACAGCTTCTTCTCTGCAGGTTTGTTAAGGTCTCTCTGTTTCTTTCTCATTCACTCTCTTACACCTTTTTCTTCCTCTCTTTTTTTGCTTTAATTCTTTCTGGATGTTTTTTTCTTTGTTTCTGCCTTTCGTTATTCCTTTCTTCCTTCCTTCCTTTCTTTCTCACACTCCCACACTCTCTCTCTCTCTCTTTCCACGCTCTCTCTCTCTCTCTCCCCCTCTCTTTCTCTCTACTCTCTCCTCTCTCTCTCTCGCTCTCCTTCTGTGCGAAGCTTGGACTTGCTGCGCTACTGCGCAGACAACTCAATCAGTCAGTAAACCCACCGCCTAGCCTGCAACATCCTGCAACCCTCGCCAACCTTCCTCGCGTAACCTAACCTCAGGCTTGACTTTCTCGCGGCACCGCAAACTCATGCTTCTTAAACACTTGCTGTGTGTGGCCTTGGGGCAGCTTTCGAAGCACATGAAACAACCATGGCGGTCACTTCCTCCCTATACTGGCATGCATGCAGCCTACATGCATCCTGACACCCCCCCGCATGGCCCTTTGCATACATGCGGCTGGCGCGGGCATGCATCCCGAAGCGCTAATGCGTAGCACCATCTGTGGAACTATAGCATTTTGCTGCTGTGCCTTGTGCGAGTGTGGGAGCATTGGCCATGGGAGCCGAACCTCCCATCGAACTCCCAGAAAGCAAAGCCACAGGACACCTTCGACGCACACCGCCTCGGACCCGAGACTCCGAAGGAATGGCGCATCGGAGTGCCAGAGCCTGCACTGGGTGCACTTTCTCGGACTTTCATGCTGAGCGGCGAAACCCCCCGCCCTTTTTAGCAGTCAATTTGCAGGGGCGCGATCGCGAGCCCGAAGTTGTTTTGCTTTCTTGCTTCTGGTCTTTTGAGGGCAGAAACCGACGATCACAGGGTTCAAACGGGTTCAACAATGGCTTGCGGATGGGGAGGTGTCAGCTTCAGGATGTAGCCACTCGCTTGACTAATTCTTATTCTTGGGCTCGGGCATCCAAGGCTTTAACGTAACCTCTATCGAGTAATGTGGTTCGCAGTGTGTTGATGTGAAGTTCGACTCCAGCTTTTTTATAGTATGGCAGCTAGCCAGGGAATTTTTCAGACGTTAGCCTCCAGTGCTTTCGTTTCTTTGCCACTAGGCTTGCAGTACAAACCCCCCGAATGCTACAAGTCCCAACGCGCGCTATGCTGGACCCTGCACTGCACTGCGCCCACCCTGTTGCCCCCCATCCGGCCCGCTGCTGCAGAAGACGGGCGTGCTATGCATGAGCAACGAGCAGATGCTTGGCAATGTTTCTTCAAACCCCTAACGCTCAGCAACATTCAGTCCTGAATCCGCTTAAGCCCCCCTTTACAGCTCAGCCTAAACATCGAGGTGTTGCAAGGCACGGGCTGCCAGCTGATTTAGGGTTTGAGATTTGAGGGAGGTCTAAGGTCTTAGACCAGCAGCTCTCCCTCGTTCTGGGAAGTCCCCAAACAATTGAGCTCACCCTCTCGCTTCCGAGCAAGAAGCAGACAGTGAGTTTTGGGAGCAAGAGGTCTTTCTGCTTGTTTCTTGACTGAGGATTTGCCTCAACGACTTGTGGCCTAGTTGCAATTTCTGCCACATGCCCCGAACATCCGAACCCACCTGGGTCTCCTGGACCACGAACACCCACGAACCTAGCAAGCTTGCAGGGCTTTGGGTTTGTTAACCTTTTTCTCAAAGCTGAGGTTCTACGGTCCTGGGCGCAAGCTGATTCAAGGGCACATGGCCTTCGAGAGCGGCATTGTGTACAACCGCCGCTTGCTGGCAGCCAATCCCCCGCAATGTGCATACTCTTTGCCCGCTTGCCTTCTTAAACACTGACAGAAAGAGGCCAAGAAGTCTGGTCTGCCTGCGTATACATACATACACACACAAATATATCCATATATAAAGACATATAGTTCTATATGCATTTTTGTTTGCGAATCTGTGCCGTGTTTTGCCCACTGCCGAGGAGGTGGCTGCACTCTGCGGCACTGCTTTGAGCCCATCTCAGACAAGTCCATGGAGGCGAGGGTTTGTTAAGGATTTGCTGGGTTTGGTGAGAGAGTGGACACTGTGGCGGATGTTTTTTTGCAGGATCCTGCAACTTGTCAGACTTCTGCAGGAAGGTGCAGGTGAAGGTGTAGGTTTATAGATTGGTGACAAGGGTCACAAGCCCCGACGTAGGGACATAACCCAGACTTCGAGAACCTAATCTCTTCTCAAGGGATGTGGCCTTTGATTTGGCATGCCTCAGCTTCAGGCATGAACGCAACGGGAAGGATGCGCATCCTCATGGTTGCCGAAATCTTGTAGTCGACCTGTTGAAGTTGAAGTCATTCCTGGGGCTAGACGCCCTTTCATGAATGCCAGGACTTGCGCTTGGATGACGAGCGGCTGCAGATCGTTCACTTCATGGGTGGGCCACTTCTTGTGTTTTAATTTATCAAGCGTGGGCCAGTCGTTCCAGGGAGGTTGAACACTCATTCAATATTCACAGCAAGCTTGGCTTAGCTACGGGTCGGTGGCCTGTGAGTAGTTGAAACATCGCTTGCTGAAATGACTTTTGCACGCACAGTGCGAGACCATACGACTGCTGCAGCTTCCTGTCCATGCCCTCTCTAAACGCCAAACCTTCACGATGAAGGGAACGAAGACCTTTCTCAGGGTTTGCCCTCCAGGTGGCAGCAAGGGCTTCGCACCGGACGTCCTGTGTGACGAGGGCCGCAACTTCACTGGTGAAGGGCCAGAGGTCGGCTGATGCCAAAGACTCGGATTGGTGTCGAGCATTGCAAAAACTCCCCGGAGAACCCCCCTAATCCGAAACACTGCTATGTGCTCTGGGTCCGGTAGCCTGTGGGAGCTAGGGCTGAAGACGCCCGAAGTTCGGGCCCGAAGCCCCAAACCCCAAACTAGAGGGGGGAGGCTCCAGCGAGGGTCACTGGAGCAGAAGCCTCCTGGTACGCAGGATTATGGCTGCCGCAAGTGAGAGCAAGCTGCTCCGCCCCTCCTCGGGGGGATATGGGTGGGGGTTTATGGGCTTAGGCTGTGAAAAGGGTGTAGGCAACAAAGCTGCACAACAGAAGTACTGTCGCAACTGTCCATGGACCCTTGAACGCACGCCAACCCGCAGCCAGCACCTAGACCTAGTCCGAAAGTGCGAGCCTGCGGTGGTCCGAAAAAATACTGGGGGGACACGGGAGGACTGCTGCTGCCTCCTACTCGCAGTTTGAACAGTTTGGTGTTGAGCGCTCAACACGTGGTACTCGTTCATGGCCAGAGTGTGCACGAGAGCTTTGGGCCATCCTCCGTGCGCTGCTCGATCGTGCAGCATCTGCAGGCATTGCAGTCAGCTCGTGAATTGAACCCGTGGTTCTTGGGGATACTGTAGCCGGATATACTAGAAGCATCTAAGCAGCTAAGCATGTGCAAGTTCTACAAGCCTTTTGTTCACGATGAAATACGATAAATTATTGGCTTGGTGACGAACGACGCGGGACTCCTTTGGTTTTGGGCTGATCAGGGCTACCCTAGCACTGTGGCCCCAGAAGGCAATCCAGCAACCACCGAATTACGAATGCTTTTTGAATCCAGGCAGTTTGTGCAGAAAACCCCCCGCGTTGCAAGTTGGCAGCCTGAACTGCCCACAACGCGCCGTCACATTCCCATGTGGGCCCCAGGGGCCATGTTCCGGAGCTTAGCACCAAATACCAACAGTGATCGAGAGGGAGTTTAGGGCCATTGGTCTGGAGTCCGGAGTCTACAGGGGATCTTGTATGTCAGGCACGTCTACTCCGTTTGCGTCCATTTCTTAGACCCTGGTATAATAAGGATTCTGGCATATGCGTTTGATTTCGACAGGTGCTGGTCGAATTGAACGCATTTGAACCCTTCAGGTTGACGAGCTCTCCCCTCTTCTTTATGGTTTTGGGAAGTCGGTGTTTGAGGGTTCGTCTTCTCGCAACAGCCTTGGCAGCTCGACCGCGGCCGTTTGTTTAGGCTCCAGGCGAGTCTTTTTTTCAGGCGGCCACATGCTCGCTACAGCCACGGATGTGCGGTACACAATAGTTAGGGCATGTGATCTCAGGCTTAGAGGCTCTTGAGCAAGACCGCATAGTAAGATTGCTGGGGTGTTGCTAGCCACGCTCCCTGGACAGTTGGCTTCAAGCCGGACTTTCAGATCTCTGTAAGAACGATCTGAAGATCTGAAGGATTGAAGCGGCCAAGGATGCACACAGCAACCCGAAACTAAGCTAGAAGTTTGTAGGTAGGCTCGCCACACTGGGAACAAACCCCCCCTCCCCCCCTCAATCGCGCCTGCTGCTGCCGAAGCGACGCCATTTTGCAGGACGCTTGTGGTTGTTGGTAGCTCAGGGAGGATTTGGATGGGCTCCTGCCAGCTTTCTCTGCCGAGGTTTTTTGCTCGTGTGAGCATCAAAAAGTCGCTGGGGATGTCCGTCCGTGTGTGATTGTGTGTGTGTGTGTGATTGTGTGATTGTGTGTGTGTGATTGTGATTGTGACTGGGATTGTCATTGTGTGTGATATTGTGTGTGTGTGTGTGATTGTGTGTGTGATTGTGTGTGTGTGATTGTGTGTGTGTGATTGTGTGTGTGATTGTGTGTGTGTGATTGTGTGTGTGATTGTGTGTGTGATTGTGTGTGTGTGTGTGTGTTTGATTGTGCGTGTGTTTGATTGTGTGTGTGTGATTGTGATTGTGACTGGGATTGTGATTGTGTGTGATATTGTGTGTGTGTGTGTGTGTGATTGTGTGTGTGTGTGTGTGTTGTGACTGGGATTGTGATTGTGTGTGATATTGTGTGTGTGTGATTGTGATTGTGTGGGTGTGTGTGTGTGGGTGACTGTGTGTGTGATCGTGATCGTGATTGTGACTGTGATTGTGATTGTGTGAGATCGTGTGCGAGATCGCGTGTGTTTGTAAGATTGTGCCTGTGTGCGATTGTGATTGTGTGATTTTGTGTGTGTGTGTGTGCGATTTGGTGTGTGACGGTGTGATGGTGTGATTGTGTGATTGGGCGCGTGTGGGTGTGTGTGTGTGTGTGTGTGTGTGTGATCGTGTCTCTGTGTGTGGGTGTGTGTGTGTGTGTTTGCGGTTCAAACTAATGACTGGGCTCCTGAACTGGGGCGACGGTGTCCTGACGCTGTATTTGCTGGAAGTTGCGAGGTTTCGTGCCTGGGAACTTGAGGTTGAGGTCCTATTGGCCGGTCCGCCAAGTTCAAAAAACCGTGGATGGCCATCGGCATATTGGCAATTGGCAAGGTTTGAAATTCACAAAAGGGGGTGACTCCATTATCAGACTAATACAGCCTCGCGTGAGGATGACGATTGCAATGGCAGCTTCGGCCAAGCAGATGCACCTGGGCTGCTCACGCTTAGGAATACGGAGTCGGGGAGCTTGAGTAGCAGCAGCCACAGCGACTCGTTTAGGAAGAAGGCCTGAAATAATTGAGAGTCACGAAAAACCACAAAGCCAGCAGCGACCATCAACAGCATGTCGTCTTGTTTGACCGTTCATAGGTTCTGGTGTTTTCACTCTCCCGATCCTTGTAACCTCAATGTTACAGCCTGAAGTCCTGAACCCGATAACCCAGCAATGTTAGCCCGCAGACATCAGACAGCACTTGCAGTTTGCCGGTTTGCTGGTGTGCTGTTCTCTCGACCCAATGAGGAACACCAGCATGGAGGAGGACAGCGGTGGCTCCCTGACCGCGCAAGACTTTCTTAACTTAAACTTAAACGCTTCGTTTACAGCTTGGGCTCGGAAATGCTCGGAACCTTGCGCTTCAGGGTCCGCAAATATCCTCCGTGGGTTCAGTCGGTGCTCAAAATAGAGATCAAGCCAACCATCCTATCGGCCTTTGCTTGGTTTACGACCTTGCAACGAGCACCGGCTCCTTGCCAAAACCGAAGTCTGCCATGTGCACAACATGTCTCTATTTGTATATCATATCTACTCCCAGATATCCCAAGATGTTTCGGGTTCCGCTTGGTCCAGCCGCGCTGCTGACGTCAAGATTGCAATTCAAGCCGGCCACCCCTTTTTGCAATTTCTTGATTCGTCGATGTATGCTGACCTCCAGCATCACAAAAAGTGTGGTCCAGAATCATGTCCTTGCCACGCTGTGCTCAATGTTGCTCTATGGCATTCTTCAAGTTGTCCAAATGTGCGACCGGCCAGACAATTTTTTTGACACGAAGCTATTTTCCTTGACATCAAGAACTAAGTCGCGGCTCTCCCACACTTTTGGCGATGCTGTTTCATGTTGAACTTCAGCATCACAACAAATGTGGCCTCACAAATGTGGCATCGCCCTGCTTCTCGCAATGCTGACATCGAGTGGGTGAGCACCGCGCCTGAGAGCCTCAAAATCACGAATCCTTAACCCCTTGTAAAACGTTGAAAGCCCGCAGTGTCGTGGTGTTGCCACAAAGCAGGAATCAAGATGAACCAGGATACTTGTAGCAAAATCGTGGCCCCCTGTGTTGGTCATTTAAAAAACGTGGCTTTACAGTGCCTTCTTGACATCGCAGTCCGCAACCGACCCCAGACCGTGTTGCTTTGACCCCCAGAGACAACACAAGGGAAGCGGGGCAAGGGCTGGGTGGCCTGCACAACGTCGTTAATTGAGCATCTGATTCTCCGACACGTTTGGACCGAAAAACCTGCATGTGAGGCATGCGTGTATCCTTTCGACGGAGCGAGAGCAAGGGGCAGATCAATGCCATAGCGCACCCATGGCGACGCAAGGCGGGGTAAGGGCTTGTGAGCTTCCGGTGTTTAGAGAGCGGGGGGCGCACCAAAAACCATTGCCCCAGTAAGTCAGTAGCCCCAACTTGGCTCGAAACCTTGCGAGGTAGCTGAGCTTTGCAAATCTTCACGGGTGGAGCTGCTGCTTGGGCTCATCATCTGTGCTCTGGCAGCAACAGGTTCCGGGTTGAACCGGGTCTCGTTCCCCCAAGGGTCCGTGCTCAGATTTGCTCTTTTCTACACCCAGTGTGGGGTTGTTAGAATTTAAGTCAACCATGCTCCAGAAAAGCCCTCAGAGAGTCTCGCCCGATTATTCCTGGTCAGAGAACCTGAATCCCCTGCCCAACCTCAGAGAATTCCGTGGAGAGCGAAGTATGCGTAATCACCTGTGCGAAAACGGCAAGATGGCTCCATATCAGGTAGCTGTAGGGCCGGGATGATGGAAGCATAATATGGAAGCAAATATTCAAAGCACCCCTGCTCCAGGTAGCAATATGGTCTGGTGCTCAGTCGGCTGAGAGTGAAGGAGAGAGAGGCAAGTTGTGAACGACTTGGGCTGATGAAGGCCCGCACAGTTTCGGTGCCGATTCGTCCGATTCGGTTCTTGCCATACCAAGGCTTGTGCATCTTGAACATTCAGAATGCTTGACGATGTCAAAGCCTAGGATAGAAGCCAATCCAAAAAGTCCGAATTCCTAAGCCTCCACTGGCCCAGTCGTTCAATGCCGCCCTATCCTACTCAGGTGGTCGTTATCCTAGAGACCGACGCCACGGCCGACAATTTACTAGCGCCCCTTTGGATGCGAGCTGCGAGGCTTCCCTGCAGATGCCGGATTTCCTGCGGTTCGGGAGAAGTTTAGGGAGAATAGCTTCACAGCTTGCTTTCTGATAATCTTTAGTACTTCCAGGCCTTGGGGCTTAAAGTGCTTGAATTGCAGCAAAGCAACAAAATGTCACAGGCTTCGGATTCTGGCCTGGAGTCCTGATCTACATCGAAACCTACCCACGTCGACTTTATGTTAAGCCAGCCCCACTAATCAATCGTCGGGCATGTGCTGACAGCGTGGCTTCAACAATCTTCGAAGAACGTTTTAATTGATGTCCGAAACCAGCCTCCACGATCCGAAGCATGACAGTGCGCAGATGCAGAAGCCAGCCTGACCCTACAACCTGGCTGCATCGAATTTACAAGAACCCGCTCCCTCCGAACCCAACTCGAAGCTGGGACCTGAAACCACACCCAATGGAAGGGTTGAGGGTCCCCAACCCAAGCCTTTCAGCTCCAAGGAACTTGGTCTTCTTGGCGGCTGCTTGGCCTAATCCTCACCAGATTCCCATGAGAGCTTGGGCTTCTGGGGACTGTTTTTGCCTTTGGGGCTTCTGCGATTAAGGCTCCGCAACCCACAAGCACAGATCCCCATCATCCTCACCCACTGTAAATGATTATGCAACACCACGCTTTGGAAGCCCTAAGCCCGAAGCCGCCTCAGTTGCTCCTGCCTTTGCCTCTGACTGAGTGCACTCAGCGCACCCTCTCCGGCCCTCAGTTTTCCTGCTGCTCCGTGGAGGTCTATACCATAGAGGCGGCTGTGAAAATCTATGCGTGGCGCTGGAAGAGCCTGGGCTTGGAGGGTGCCTGTTGGTACTTGCAAACGGTCTGGCTGCAGCATTTCTGGACTAGGGATCTTGCTCTTGCGCGCCAGCTCAGCGCCTGAAATCGGATGGCCAATTCAGCTTGGCACGAGACTTCAGTAGCAGCATAGGTGAGCAACGAAGATGCCAGAAGCACAATCCACCTTATGTGACGCGGAGTGCATCAACCCGCCGAGGTATTTCCACGACTCTTGGAATCTCTTGGACTTCACTGCCCCCCGGCTTCGAATCCAAGACCTCATGAGCTTACAAGAGTCGCCAGAGCTTTCGAAACCTTCAATCCTCCAACCTACTTGCTTATGCCACCCACCAGCTGCAGCTCGGGTACTCAAGCGTCGGGACGTCTTGGGGACGGGCAAATTTCTGCAGGCTTCAGGAGGGCCATCAATTTGCGTTTCCGGGAGCTAGTCTTTGCATGCTTATCTTTGCTTATGATGTGGCTCCGTGGGTGCAAACTTTCTGTTGATGGGTTCAGCGAACAGAGCCGCCTGTGTTACCTGATGTTACCTGTGTGGTTTCGGTTGTGGACGAGTTTCGTTTTTTACATGTTTTTGTTTCGATCCCCGTGAGAACCCAAAGTCCGAAGGATTTATAGATTATAGGAGGTCCAGCGCCCGACATGCCTGAGCCTTGGAAGAGATGCAGAGGTTGTCTTGCTCGACATGGCCCTTACCATCACGGCCCTGTTCCAGCTCTCGGGCAGTGGCGTGTCAATGCTGCGGCTGCCTGAACTTCAATTAGCACTCATGACTCAGGATTCTACGTTTGATGGAAGCTGTTTGGGTGTTGAGCCAGCGCTTGTTGGCAAGGGGCATTGCCAGCTTTCTGGCTCAATTTGAACACACAAGCAGAAGAACCTTTTTTTTGGGGGGGGAAAGATCGGAGAGCCATCTCTCGGAGTTGGATTCCTATTTGCCGCATCGCTTTTTCCAGCTAAGCCGGCTGACCCCAAAAACATGTGCAAAAGATATTTCTTGAAGCAGTGCGGTGCCAGTTGCCGCGCCCCAAGGATATTCCGGATGGGCAAGATGGTCCGGATCTTTAGAGTGCTGCGTCAAATATGGGAGTTGAAGATACTGCTGCCACTTGGCAAAGAACCTTTCAGACAGCAGCGGTGTTTCCAGAACTCAAAACACGGAGTCCAATCGTCCACGCCAATTTGCTGTCAGTTGCACACCCGAGTAGAACTTGATTCGCAGCAAGATGTAAATCGTGTTCAGGATGGCTAGACGTGGCTACGCAGGGGTTGAAAATGGGGATTGCCAGACGTGGCAAGGCTGGGGTTGAGAATGGGGATTGTTGAGCACATCTGTGCCCCGGTCTCTTAGTCCGGCTAGGCTAGAATCATCATCCAGACCCCACTGTGCTCGGGTGCAATCATCAGCACCATCACCACCATCACCACCACCACCGCCGCCGCCATCATCATCCTCATCACCATCACCATCATCATCATCATCATCATCATCATCACCTCTGTTGTGTAAGCGGCAGGAGGTACGTCATTTCTACAAATACGGAGAACAAGCCCGGTGTCAGTCAGGATGAGCTTTGCCGCGGCAGCCAAGTCGATCGTTTTCGGCATGGTCATGGCATCATGGCTTCGAAGGATCAAGGCAAAGGTTGATGGCTTAGAGGTTGGCAGCTACATGTAAATGGTCCCAGAAGACCCAATAAGCAAACGCAGAGGAGAGAGAACCGTCATGTAATCCCCCAAACCCACAAGGCATTTCTCTTGGAACTGGTACAGGAATCCGGGATAGGCTCTGCCAAGGAAGCCCTAAACCCTAAACCCAGCTCACGTCGGTGGACCCGGTCTTTTTGTTCCTTCCAGGTGCTCATCATGATGACCAGTTGGTCAGTTCTGGCAGTCGGGCCTCCCAGCTTCCGAAGAGCTTCCGAAGATTGTGTTTTGGCCCAGCAAGCAAGCCCGAGTTCCACCCTTCGATAAACCAAACCCTCAACCGTCTCAGGTACAGTTCCTGCATCCCATCAACAAAGAGCCTCTCGGATCAGAGCAGGTTTCGACATTTGGGTTCACATGGGGTTCAGAATGCACGTTTGCGACGAGGACGTTTGCGGACAGAGCCAGGGTAGGGACACCCAAAGCCTATAGGATCTGAGGATCTGACATGGCCTGCGAACAGTCTGGGTGTGCAGTCCAACTGTCTTACTTGTAGACGCTCAGTGCGTAGGAATCAGGAAATCCGTGGTTGTTATAGGGAGTCCCAGAAGTCCCGTGCCAGCCAATATGTTGCCAGCCATTGAGCTTCATGGTTGGGAGGGTTTTGAGAGGGTATCCGTTGTTGAATTGTTGTTTTGAAGTATGGAGTGGTTGTAGGCAGTTTGGGGAAGCATCTTCCACCTTAACTAATAAACACAATCCAAGGCCGAAAAAATCAACCACGGTGCGAGGTCCTGCACGAATGCCGAAAAGAATGGTTCAGAAGCCTAGGCTTTGGCTGGACAGCGACTGTGAGCGCTGCGGACGCGCCTTTTCTACAGTGCCCGAGATGAACTTTACCTGGGAGATTCATGCGCGCCACTTCTCTGCCCCCTTAAAGGAACAAGTGGCTTTGAAGCTGTCTACGGTGGGACCAAGGTACCACAGGCATAGTTGCCCTTCATTTGGCATCAGCCCAGGCTTCCTCAACTCCCCATCGACGCTATCATGTTCTTACGTTGAGAGGAAAGTGATCAGACAGGGTTTCCTTGCTCTTTTTTGGACGGCAAAAGCAACAGATGACTGGATGGTTTTTTGGGCTCACACTCGTGGCCCCTCGCCATTCATGGGGGCACATGTGGCCGCTGGACTTGCTCAGTGTAGAAAAGGCAGCCTCAACATATGAAGCCTATTCAACAACGAAAGGTCAAGCCCAGTTGCATCCTACTGTAGACCATCATTGGCTCACTGTACAACCCTGGCCTGTAACCATAACTTTTGCCCTGACGCCCAGGTTTGGGAAGCTCAAATTACCATCTTCCAAACTGTCATGATGGGAGACGGCTGGGGCACTCTTGCAATTCCACTCATTGAAAGAGACGCCTGGCTTGCAGCCATCACGTTGTGGAAGTCATGTGGTAGCGCAGATTGTGCAACTTGCACCCCATGATAAGGGTTGCACGACAGCCTCCTACCGAAAGCTTTTCGGGCGTCCCACACCCTCCTCGAACCCCAAATAGGGGGTTGGATCTTTTGTAATCCTAGAGGCCCTGGGCCCGTGGCACCCGGAGTAGCCCTACCATCCTCTGCCCGCGAAAAAACTGCCGATGTGCATCAAAGCTTGAGTTGGACACTGAACCCATATGCCGCATATGCCCTTGCACGCTCCACGCGGTTGGATGTAGCTCAAGGGTTGAGACGGTTGTGGGGCCTATGCGTCTGGAAGAAGCTCTAGTGCTCAGGCAAGTTGGGCCAGCACTTACTTCCTGTTTGTCTACATCAGTCTGCAGCTTGCGATGCTCAATCTCATCCTCGCTGCTGCTGGGATGCAAATGGATCCGGACCCATTCTTCTTCAAACAAGTGTGTCCATGCATTTCCCGGCGCAGCTTTCGAATCAACACGCAAAGCCACCATGTGGGAAGAGCAAAGACAGCGATTGTTTGCGAGCGACAGCAGCAGGAGGAGGAGGGATAGCAAGGATAGACTGAACTGCTGGGGAGCATACTTCCTGCTTCCGACAACTTGAGGTCATCGTCGAGCGTGCTGCGAGCGCAAAGGAGCTTGATCTGCACCAACAGGCAGTCGCCAAGGAGGCGTGCGATTTCGGACTGTGTTTGAGGGCTGCTGTCTGACAGTGTAACCTTAGGCTGCGGATTTGGACTTCACAGCTCAAGAGCGAGGGCCCAACTCCAAGCAACCTTGGTGCCTTGCAGGAGGAAATGATTGCTGCAAAGGAAAGCTTGCTACAATTGTGCCGGTTGATGGACAAGGATAAGAGCGGCAGCCTCTCGGCGGTAAGTTGCTTGCTGCCTGTGGTAAAAAAATAGGAGAACAAAGGGCAAAAGAGGGTTAGAGGAGCCTTGGCGGTTTTAACTTGGCTGGTCTTGAGTGCCACCCGCCAAGCATTTGAGGGCCAAGAAGGTTGAAAGAGCTGCTTCTGCAACGTTTCCTCGTCTTATCACGAAAGCTAGCTCCAAGGAGCTCGCGAGAGTTGTCGTTTACAAGAATTCTCTCCAGTGTTCAGCTGGGTCAACAAGCGACCCCGACCCTTAAGTGGCATGAAAATCAAAGGGATAAAGGGCTGTGGAGGGGGGGCCCCCCCCTCCCCTTTTTTATAGGATTGATTCAGGGGGGTAGGGGGGGGGGAAGGGGGGGGGGTAGGGGGAGGGCAGAGGGAGGGTAGAGGGAGCCCAAAGAGGTTTTTTCCAAAAGAGCCCCTATGCCCTGTGCGAAAACGCCTACGGTCCATGAGTTTACGCGGTGTGGGTGGCCTGTTCCTCCACGGAAAAGCTGGCGGGGTACCCCCCCTACCCTGCTGTCGACCTGTACTGCGCCCGCACTTCTCCTGCCTTCTAGCTTTCGTGGCCCCGATCTCAAGTATAGTCGGGCCACAGTTTCCAGATGCTCCGTTTGAGCAGTTTAGTTGCTTGTGGCTTCAATTTGGCGGGCAAGGTTGTAGTCCACCCCTCACTTGTGTAAGCCCCTTGCAACAGGAGATACTGTTTGGGAGCTTGAAAGGAGTCTTGGATGGATAAAAATGCTAACGCCAGGGCCGGAGAAATCCCATTCTTTAGCATTACCGGCCCTCGGCAAATCCTGCCCTGCGCCTGCAGCTTTACAGGGGCCGGTCCCGTGCTGAAAGCTTAGCTGACCGAGGCCAAAGCTAATGATGATTCCCGGGTCATCCAAGAACCTTCAAATCGCACATCTTGCAGACGCTTCTAAGCAGACACCTGCCGCTTTCAAGCGAGAACCCTCGATTCCATCCATCGGCGTGCATATCGTGTGTTGGCTTTGAGCAGGCTTGGATCTAGAGGAAATCAAGGATGGCTTCAACAACAACCCGAAGCTACTGGGCGAATCTGAGTGGGATGAGGGCTTCGACGCAGGGGGTCTCGGTTTCTTGGACGACTTAGGCCCTAAGTTTAGGGCCTTTGTGCGATCCGCTGGCCTGCAGTGATAGGCAAAACAAGTGCTGCCTTCGATACTAGTAGGGGGAGTTTCTTGCATCTTGCCCACCCTTCTACCTTGCCCGCAGTCGGCTCTTTCGGCTTCCCTAGATGTGATCAGGTTCGCGAGCTCGTTGGTGTCTATGGGTGTCGCCTGGCGGGACCTTTGTTTCGCAGCGCAAGTGCACTTGCAAAGGTCTTTGAAACAAAGGCCCTGCAAGCCTCCATGACTGCGACATTCTAGCCCCCTGAAACAACTCTTCAAAGCTCAGCCCCGGAACATCTTACAATCCATGTGAGAGGCCATCAAATTAAGGCCTGAGCTTGAAGAGTTGAACCCTCAAGTCCTGGTAACCAAAGGCCACATTGCGCTCAGACAGGAGAAGGTCGGTCCTGCCGTCAATTTTCCGATCTACGACACCCCAATCGACCTCACTACACATTTCTAGACATTGGTCGACCGTACTCCTATGACTTGGAAGACCTGTTGCAGAAATGCTGAGGTCTTCCTTGAGGACGTGGACCTGTTGTTTGAAGTTCTTGACGTCGAAGGCCACGTGATCAACATCTGAGGGCTTTGGATGGGCTTCAGTGAAAGGAAGCTGTCCGACTTGGGGGCTTCTAGCTGTGTGGAGAAAGACTGCTAGTCAGAAGGGAAGAGTCACAGAGGGACATTGCGAGAGACACCTGATACGTGGCTAACAACACTTGGCCCTCGTGCCTGTAGAAACCAAGCCCGCGCGCAGGCACTGGGGCAGTTCCTTACGTGGAACTTGTGGACACCTTGGCGCGGCTAAAATCGTGCTTTGCTGGCCTTGGTGGGGAGGGAGGGGGTGGGGGCGCTTCAGGTTCAGGGTGGACAACTCTTTTCTCCGGCAGCCACGGAAAGTCATAACCTGCACTGCAGAAGCCCGGAACTCGAACCGACCTATGAAGGCCATGGCCTAGACGAAGACAAGCCCTGCCCCAACTCAACACGACGCATTTCACGGGATCAAAAGCGATTTCAGGCAGATCTCTTATGTCATCCTTTTCCAGCTGACGGCTGCTTTGGTGGCATGTGGTGGGGGTCGTAGTAATCTGCCCGTGGCACGTGGTCTGTGGTGATCCACAGGGCGCCGGAGCAACGGATCAGTCTTGGATGAGATGTGTCATAAGCACTGGGACATGTTATTCCACAAGCCGACGGCCCAGAAGCAAACCAGAAAATTCATCACATAGTGTTGAGGACTTTGCACCCCTGACCCTCGAGATACAGATTCCTCACTTGACTAGACCCCGACATTGGTCTCAAATTGTGCAGAAGAAATCCCAAACTCGGGTATTGTAGCTCCTACCCCATGCCTCCGTGTCCTCAGTACATTTTCAAGCCTGCAAGCCAAAGGCGATCCAGAAGCACATGCGCGATCTGCGGGCGCAGAGAGCCCGGAGTGAGGAGGCTGGAACCCACACGAGTCCACACCTGTCTCTCCTCCTCGCCTCTCCAACCTGAACACCAGAAGACCCCAACTTCTCCACTTCAAAGCTCATCGATCCTAAACAAAGATCCTCTGTCCTCCCGCGCTCCATCACAGGCCCCTGAATGCTGTCCAAAGCACACCACCAAGCTGCGCGGTGGCTGCGTCTGTGTTCAGCCCAACCTTCTACTGTAAATGCCAAAATGGCCCAATATCTGCCCTTGTGATCTCTAGAACGAAAAGGAGCGCCCCTCGCTCGAACAGACCCAGTTCTGAAGTTCTATACTTCTCTGATTTTCTCTCTTGTCTTTGCCAGCCGTTGCTTTCTCCAGGCTGTTGTCATCTGCTTCTCCCCGGCCACAAATGCGACTTTTCAAAACGATGGTATGCTCGATGTTCCCGCCACCGATGGTTCCCAGCATCAGTCTCCACATTTTCACAGCTTTCGGGGGCAGACCACGAAGGCCTGTGAAAATCACAGAAAGTTCGAAAGTTCTTCAGGTTCCTCCACGCGTGGCCTCTGCCTCTGCTGGAAAAGAGCAGGAGTTTCGCAGCACGCCTATTTCCAAAGAGCTGTGTTGATGCTGTGTTGCTGAAAAGGCAAGCATGTTTTAGAATGGTTTTGCATTGACCTGACACGAAGACGCGGGTGAGTGCGCTAGCCGCGCAGCAATGACAAAACTGGGGCTTCGGGTTAAGCACTCGCTGCACACGAGTCTGGAGGGTTCTTCGCCCGAGTGTCTGCCTGAGTGCTTAACAGCTCTCGCCAATCATGTACCAAGAGAAGGGCCCCGGCCTGGACATGCAAAGGTCCCCCGCCTCCAATGAGGCAACAGAAATTAACACGGAATCACCCGTCGCCAATGCAACTGACACATGGACAATCTGCAACAAGTTTTGTTCGACACCTTGTCAAAACATGTCAATCACTTCCAAAAACCCCCCCCAAAATCTTACTAGCGGGCACGAGCCCTTTCAATACCCCCCCTCTGAACACTGTCAGGCATTAGATGGGTCGAGTTTAGTTAAGAGGGCTGGGAGAGGGGGGTGCAAGGATGTCCAATTCCCCTTTATATCATTGGCCTAGATGTGCGGGGGAAGGGATACCACATGTGCGCTATGACACCATGAGCTCTGCACCGAATCCGAAGCCCCCAAGCCACCAGGCATTCCTTGACACAACTCCCCCAAGCGCGACCTGCACTCTTCGGGCAGCAGTAGAGCCACAGGAGGATGAGCTTGGCATCAACAAGGCCGCTAGCAGCGCTAGCAAGGCCACTGGTTGAGCCGGGATGAGCCAGTGCCGTCTGCAGTACTCGTATCAGGTCGTTCAACAAGGTTGGGGTTAGAAGCATGTGAACTTGACAGACTGGAAGAACACTTTCAAGCCTTCAGACGTGAAACCCAACTAGACCTTCAAGGCGTTAAGTTTTTGCAACTCCGGAACACGCAAATGCCAAGACCATTTAAGACAATATAGGGACTTACAGTCTCGTGTCCTCGAAGAGCGATCAAAACCGGGTCTTCAGCCGCGGTGTCGGCTGACAGGGCTCGGCGGCACCGCCAGCAGGCCAGGCCGAGTCAGCGAGCCACCTGGCAGGAATTCAAGTTTGGGATATAGAACTATAAACTAGAGTATATGCTGCTTTGAAAGATGAAGGTTGTTACCCTGTTGCTTGTTCAGGGTCGCTGCCTGGGCCTTGGCATTTCTGACGACCAAATCAAGGCTCTCTGAAGTAGGGATTTCGCTGAGTCTGAGGGGTCTCAGACACACGCAGCTGGACTCTTCCTGAAGCATCCACCCAACTCCAGAAGACTAAGGCTTTCGCAGGCTCGTTGATTCCAAGCTCCTTGGCAGGGGATGGACTAGATCCTGACGGCTACAGATCGTGACCTGACCCGTGGCCCACCTGCACCCGCCTCAGACATGAGTATAGACTTTGCCCTGCATTCTGATGCATGACATGTGAAAGCATAGTATCTCGCGCATGATGACTGCCCATGGCTCAGAGTCCCAGTGAGGCTTGACTTAACGGTAATTGCTTCCCTTAGTGACCTGAAAGCTTCAATGAGTCCTGCAGTATGCTCCGGGTCTTGCTCCCAACTTGCACAGGTTCACTGACATGATGAGAGCTGCGTGGCAGTATATAGCTGGAAAGTAGGGGGTTGTTGGGGATCGGGCTTTGAAGAGGAGAGTCCTGGTTCGAGAAGAGTGTGCAGGTGTGGGTTTCCAATTTCTGGTTTCAGACGTTCCGGATTTGAAGGTTTGGGCTGCAGATTGGTTACCGCTGGGATTTAATTAGAGAGCTTGTAGGACTTCTGTTAGGGGGTTTTGTGCGAGACACGCCTGCGGACGAACAGATTCAACAATCCAACAGTTGTCCCGCAGCGCCTATGGGAGGGATGTTAGCACGTGTTGATTCTGGTGGTGCTTTTGCATGAAAGCCGAGGCCTCCTATTCTGCAAAAAGGTCCATGATTTTTCTGATTGGACTTTGGGGTCCGAATGTCAAGCCTGGCCCTGCAAAGTGTCCACGCCCAACTTTAGGCACTTGCGGGGCTGCTGCTCGAGGTTGAGGTCATAGGTAGGGTGGCACCAACCTTCAAACAGCCCTACCCTAAACCCCAATCCCTAAACTCAATAAGTAGCATCGTCTGGTCTTCAAAACCAAGGAGACCAATCAGCGTTTCGACCAGATCTTGCACGAGATTTCGCGTAGCTTTGATCAAGCGCAGAGGACAGAGTAGACAAAGCACTCGGGATCGAACCTGATTGCGTTGTCTAGTTGCACCTACAGAGAAGGTATAGGCAAGGGCAGACAAAGAACGATCTTGACCTGCGGTATCTAGAGCCGGACTCGGAGGGCTAGTGAACCTAGTGCGGTCAGTAGGTATATGCTTTGAAGCTAAGGAATTCAGGACTTAACGAAAACTCTTCTGCTCGCCGGAGGATAGCAGAAAAAGCTGACAGCCGTCCCCATGAAAGACCGACAACGGTCTTCGAAGCCCTGACACAGGAATGCAGCCCAGAGGCGCTCGCGGGGGCGTAGAGAGGGAGGGATGCAGCTTCCCACCTTAAGAGAGCAGCTTCAACCTCTGCCTGTGAGGCCATGCGCCTCCTTAGAGAGGACACTGTGGTGGGTCTGAATGAAAGAACGGAGCCCTGGATGCGCACGTGCTGCTAAGTCTCAGCTCCGGAACAAACGCGAGAGAGAGAGAGAGAGAGAGAGAGAGAGAGGAAGAGAGAGCGAGACAGTGGGAGCAAAGAAATCGGAGATGAGACGGCGAGAGGGAAAAACGACCATCCTCACAGTCAGAGCCTCGGGCAGGGTGGGGAGGGGGTGGGTAACAGGGTCCGGTTTGATGTGGAGCGCAGAAACAAACCGGTTCGACCTTCGAATCAGATACTCCATGCCTCAGAAGGTGAGGTGAGGTGGGGGGGTTGGGGGGGTGGGGAGGGGTTATTCACATCCGGTTTGCCAAGGCTGCGGTGGGGTCCTGGGTGGGAGGGGGGGGGTGGTACTTCTTTGAGTCAGACAGCGCTCCACACATCAGTCACATCCTCAGAAGGCAGGGGGTCGGGGGGGGGGGGGGGGTTGCTGTCGTTTCCGAATCAGTTTTGGTTTTTGGTTTTGCGAACATGGAACGGGTAGCACGAGGATAGCAGAACTGGTCATTCACCTGCCAGATCTGGTCATTCACCTGCCAGCTCATGCACATTGACCCGCTGTGAGTTTCACGGAGGCCTGAGGTTACAAAGTAGGATAAGAGAAAATGCTGGAAAGACGCAACCGAATGTAGACTAGGACGGTAATGTGAATGTGGCCCTCCCTTGTGTCTCATGCCTGCCAGGAAAAGAAGAGAGGAGAGACACCAGACGGACAAGACACGGGGAGAGCAATCGAGAGAGAGAGAGAGACATAGGTTTACTATTAGATCCTTACGCAGGTGTGCACTTCACAAACGCTACCTAACAAACAAGAGCAACGTGTAGCTGCCATCAGCGGACTAACAATTTTCCGCGGCTGTGCTTTTCCTTTGAAGTGATGGACCAAAACGGGACTTGTGATCCCTACTCGTGCGAAGAAGTCCTGGGGATATAGATAACGCCCCAATCTTGAGAAACGGCAAAAGCTCCACCGACGAAACCACATGTATGGGAGCTGAGGTTTTCACGTTTTACAATGCAGACATGTAGAGATGGCTGAAGGTTTCTGCAGTACAGTGGAAGGCAGGAAGAACGAAAAAGGGAAAAAGGTTTAGGGCACCCCCTGCAAGCGTGGGTAGCCTCATGGACTCTTCTTTCCATCCTGGTGACCTAGCTGTCAGTCCGGCTGTAGACACGGGTGCCAAAGTTCACACTCTGCGCTCAGAAATCGGGCGATACTACGCTTATACGGGCCATCAAGAACCAGATGTGGGAGGCGCGATCACGTTCAGGATTTTGAGAGATTCGGGGCCAACCTGGACCCGGAGGTTGCCAACATCAAGAAATGTATCTGCAAAAAATGACATCTAAAGAAGGCAGCAAACAGGACATCGTGATCAGGAGCACGAGGCTTAGGATTCCAATCCTCGTTCCTCATTCAGAGAAGCCCGGCAACCCTCAATCTCTTGGAGGACCCTTCCGAACTCCAAATCTTAAGCCCGCTCCCGAAGCCCTGAGGGAAGATATCTCTCCGTGGGGGCATTCATCTACTGCAGGTGGTCTTTGAGATCCTGCGGCATGAGGAGTTCACCCAACTCAACGCATGGTGGCTGCATTGGCAGAGGGATGGCAGAAGGATTTCAGGTTCAGTCCCGCAAGTTGAGGTTCTTGCACGCAAACCGGCAAGCCAGGTTGATATTCTGCCGGCGCTCGCCGAGACTACTTCAAGAGCACTTCAGGGCCAAAAGCGACGACAGTTCTGCACTTCATGAGGAGCGCCACGTGCAACACCGCGAAAGGCAGCCCAGATTCCCGTTAGAACGGAGGCATGTGGCCCACCCATCCAAGAGGCCAAAAAGCAGGAAACTGTGTGCTGCGAAGGAGCGATGCAAGCCCTTGCAAGCCTCAAAAAGCGCATGGGACCTTGGCGGCTGCACGATGTGGACTGTCATCCGTTGCCTAGAGGGTCATCGATTACAAGGCCCTGTGCTCTCGCGCCCTAAGCGTGAACCTTCCGACATGGACTCCATTGTGGTGCAAGCACGGTTTGGGGAGCAGATGCTTTACGACCGAGCGGGAGGCGGTGAGTCGTAATTTTATTGAAGTTCGAAAAGTGTCACTTTGGCATATGTTTTTTTGCAGTTGATGGAGCTTTGAGTCCTGAACTTCACAGAAGCTTCTGAAGACACTTGCCTCGAAGTTGCCGGCAAACATCGGTGATTCAAGAGCAACGTGAGGTCTCATCTGCTCAGGAACTTGCCAGGTGGTGGGTGTGGGTAGTGTGCTCACTAGAAGGTGCTGGGTGACCATCGTGAGTTCCGACAGCTTGTTGCTTCGTGGCTTGTAGGAACACGCTTCATTAGGATTCATCATCCCACCAAGACGGGACAAAGACAGAAACCCAGTATCTAGGATGAGCAAGGGCCAGGGTTGTTTACATCAGTTGCCGGTATAGGTGGTATCCCCAAGCCCTTTCAATACTCTTGCAAGGAGACAGATGGCATGGGCCTATCTGCGTGGCACCATGCCTTGGTGCGAGAACGCTCCGACGCGGCCCGGCATGCAAACTCTCCCTGCTATAGGGAGCCGGCACGATTGCAGACTCGCAACGAAAGCTGTTTTTGAGAACCGATCAAAGCCAAACATCTGGGAAGTCATAGGATCTCTGAGGGCACCCTTCTCCCCCCATTCCCATTCCCTCAGCAAAGACAACTAATTGAGATTGGGGTGGGGGGGGGGGAAGATCAGGACAGCTTTAACAGCACGAGTTTTGATTTTTGTGTGCAGGTTCGCTGCGTGCTGCATAGCTTCTGTATCAACATCCCCAAGCTCCACAGGATCCCACTTTGCTTCCCCAGGTGGTCGCTGCCATAACGAATCGACCTGATTTTGCAGCTGTGCACAAGCTAGACTTGAATGCCGTGGCGCAGCACGTCGCCTCAGCGCGAGCATCGAAACGTGCAGTCCCGGTCGTTGGAATATGAGTCGGCTGGCCTCATGACTTGCTTACAAGTTACAAGCTACAATGTTTACAAGGATCGGAAGTTGGGAAGGTTTTACATAGTTCTAGCCAGTACTAGGCTTGGTACTTTCCATGGTTGGTTGTGGAGGGAGACTGCATAGCGGCCAGTCTTCACTCTGCCTTTTTCCAGGGGTAACAAGCCCTGCAAGTTTCAAAGGAAGCCTGGGCCAGAACCTGAACCGCGCGCCCTAAGGCCTTCGATTCGTGACTGTTTAGACATATGTTTGCAGAACCGCTGCAGCCCAGTCGTTCGCTGATCCAGAAGTGCCTCCACAAAGGTCAAGCATCAACATCAAGACCATGACATCCTATGCAACATGTTACGGTCATTTAGAAATCCCCTTCAAGAGTCATACCATGAGCAAACAAGTCAGGCGTGCAGATGGGGCCACGCCTAGATTCCCAGATTGGCTCAGGCGCGAAACAGAGCATCTTCGCTCTTGCGACATCAAATGGCCTGAATGAAGCTTCTTTCAATGCTGGGATGTCTGTGCAGAAACGTGCCCGTGAACTCCACATTGCCATACTTCCCTAGAACATTTCCTCCGTCGATTCGAGATTAGTAGGACCTTGCCGTCATCAGCTTTCCGATTTCGAACCAGCTTTCGTCAAGATCTGGAGCAGGGAGATCCTGAAAGCACGGCAATGCACAGCATCACCAGCCCGAGGCTGCTCTTCCTAAAGGGAAAGGCATGCCCTTCCAGCGGAAGACAGGGTCCATCTCACAAAGGAAAAGTAAGGAGGGAAGTTCAAAAACTTTGGGAGTTTTTGGGAAGCTTAGGGGTCTCTTCGGAGCCTTCCAACATGCCTTTTGCCCTTGACGGTTAGGGTGCAGTGTGATCCAGGAGTCGGGGCACAGGGGCCATGTGCTCTACAGCAAGGTTCTCGAATCTTGCAGAGCAGGGTCCAAGTCTCAGGCATTTTGTGTATTGTGAGATGGCATAGCGGTCACACAGCCCTGACCAGGCCAGACGAACTCAGCGAATTCTGGGAGCAAGAACAGCGGGATGGATCAGCCCCAAAGAAGCGTGCCGTGATAATGCCAAAAAGAATGATGACACCAGGATGCCAGCAAGCTCCAAGACCTTCTTTCTTCCTCAAGAAGCATCAGCACTCGACCTGAGAAGTGCACCATTCCTGAGGACTGGTTACCTCTCTTGTTGGAGCCGAAAGCCATACGATGTACTGGTACTGCACAGTTGAATCAGAGTAAAGAGATTGTTGTTTAAGCTTTGACTGCTGCAGCGATGCATGTGGCTCCTGAACCTCTGCTTCTGCGCCCAGGAATAAACGCCCAAAGGGGCCACTCGTTGAGTCAATGTTCGAACATGGTGCATCCGGGGCCCGGGAGAATGCCAGGCGCTCCTCCCGGGAGCCTGAAGTAGACAAGGACTACACGAGGAGGGCCTCTGATACTTCAGCGTAGGCGGGGAGATGAGGCTGAGGAAAGTATTAAATGACGAAGTTTAGCTTTGGCAAATCATAGCGTCTCTACCACAGCTGCCAGGTCACTTGGCAAGCTGCCACAGAAAGCAGCGTAAAATTAGAGTCCCTTGGACTCCAGGGTTGGCTGAGTGTCTCGAAGTTATGATTGCATTATGGGTTTATGGCTCCGGAGTGCAATGTAGCCTGGAGGGGCGTCTAAGAAGTGTACGCGCTGCTTGATTTGGGGCATGACATGATACATTGGTGTGGTGGTGTGGTGCTCCTTGCCAGTTTGAAGATCAGTGGTTCTGCTTGCCCGCAATTCGATGCCCATGCGGAGCAGGGCCTTTCTCGAGTGGATTTTTGCCATCGCCTCCCGACGAGTCGTGACAAGTCTAGCACGATTCGAGTTTGCACTGCTCAAGGAAAATGCAGCGGCAGGTTCCGAAGTCTTCAGGGAGAAGAGCAACTCAGGTCCTAAAAAGGCTTCAAAGGTTACGTGGCTTCAATGTAGTGATGTGCGTTTTACACACCTGTCACCTCTGAAAACGGACCCGAGCCCTCGAGCTTCTTGCTCCTGAGGCCTGTATCATAAGATCCTTGATTCGAAACCTCTTTATAAACCCTGGAGGACAACAAGTAACAAAACCATCAAATCAGGATCATGAGAACTTAAGTCAGGATAAAAGCAGCATACCCTCATAACAGATGCATGTGATGGTGTGACAGGTCAGGAACACTCGGCTTGCTCTGGTTGCGTGTACTCTGCTTGGAATGTCCGTGTGGTATTCTCTCAACAAAACCTGCTGCCCAGAGCCTAGCCCGCAGTTGCTAGTAGAACACCAAGTCACTTTCCAGCCTACATGCACAACTCGTGCTCAGAGAGTCGACTCTTTTGGAAAGAAGTAAGGGTGAAAAAACGAACGCCTTCAATGCCTCCCGTTTCCCCACCTCCCACCCGATGCGCAGCTGCATGCCGAAGCATGTCAATCAGGTTGCGCACACCCCTTGAGGGCCTGCACTACCTGCACTAGATTTTGTCCCAGTCCCTCGACGCCAAGTCAAAATCTTCCAGTCTATTCAGTTACTACTGGTAGTACAGTCTCAATCTGTTCTGTTCTCTGTTTGTCGTCCTTTCTTTCAAGATTCAAGTGGGAGTGCAGTGGAGAATCGACAGACTGGCCTGACGGGCAGAACAGCTTGAGGCATCAAGGGCTGGAGCTGGCAATGAGTACCACCTCGGGTTTTCACGAAGCAGGCGCCAGCTGTGGGGATCCCACCGGGGGTCTTAGTAAGCGCCATTGAACGTTATCAGGCTCACGGTGATTGCTGGAGGGCCTGATTCTTATACTGAGCAAACCCCCCCCCCCCCCCCAAAAAAAAAAAAATCAAAAAAAGAGTGGACATTTTCTTGGATGCTTGTTCCTTGGCCGTCAATGTTCACATTTCCTGTTTATTGACTATTGTCTGTGAAATCCTGGTGCTTCTCTTCTCTATCTTTGTACCTAGCTTTCCTCTGGACTTTTTGATTCATGGACTGGTTGGCAGGGATCGAGGTTTTGTCAGTGTTACATACAGGACCAAAAAAAGTCGGCTGGTTGCGAGAGCCCTGGTGGTAAAAAATGTTTTTCTTTGGTTAAGCCACGCCCCCTTCCACCCCCCTGCCTTTTAAAACCACGCAAGCTTGCGTTTAGGAACATCATGCCATCAAGAGAAGTTGCTTCCATCCCCCCGTGAACCTCTCAAGAATCGTCATGCGAGCATTGTTTTTGCAAATGGGGGGAGGAGGCTGTGTCCCTCTCACGTCCATAGGCGAAAGCCTCCGGTCAGAACAATGGTTTGTGTTGAGGAAGAAGGACCCTACCCTACCTGCTTGCTTCGCCAGCTCGCAGTGAAAACCCACCAAGCACATTTGCATCCATACGGCGGAGGAAACAGCCCCTTACCCTCCAACCCCCCCCCCCTCCACCAAGCCGTGCAAAGCTTTCAAGAACGTCGCGCAGCCCCAAAACCACAGGGTTCCGTCCCAATCGATGAGCATTGTGCTAGAGGGGGGTGGGGGGGCGGGCAGTTCTGGCCCTAAACCCGCCTTGCTTCAAAGCATTTAGGCGCTAAGGGTACACATTCCCTCAAACCGCGTGAACCCTTTCAGATTTGGAGCCTATGAACAGCTGGCAGCTGCAGCACTTGGAGCCGCTGATTCGCTAAATTTGACAACATCTGGAGCTTGTGAACCATCAAAAATGCTGCAGTTCACAGCATTGGCTTCTTTTGATGTCCGATATTTTCCTGCGATTTGTTTTTGATCCTTCAGTTTTTCGGATCGGCACGATGTGGCCAAACACATTAAGATTGCATCGGATCCCTTTACCATCAATTTGCATGTGATTCTTTTTCATTTAGGCTTGTGATCCTCCGCCCCCGAAGCTGGATGATGCTGGCTGAAGGCAGCAATGCATAAGCTCTATGCAGCCAAGGCCTTTGCACTGTCGTGCGGCTGACGCCGCGGATCGGACTGAGTGCCGAAAAAGCACAGACGTAGCCTGCAGACTGGCGCATGATTAACAGCAGCGCTTTGCTGAAGATTCAGTTGGGGGTCAGACTCCAGGGAAATAAGAATTTCACATGGGGTGGTTTTTGGCTAGAAAAAGTCGTTACTTGGGACGGTTTGCTGCATGTTGCTGGAATTTCAGGGCACTGGCTGCATCAAGCACTCGTAGTGCGCTTAACGGGGCCAGGGCTTCGAGTAGGGGCTTGTCGCATTTTGCCACATGACCCAGAAGCATGTGAGAGTAGAGAGCCAGGGCAGGAGAAGAAAGCAGCACTTACTGTAGTCACCTCCACATTTTATCGCAGTTCTGATGCGCGCACATGGGGGTTCTGCGAACAAACTCATGCGGTCGCCCGCTGCTTTGCGGTTCATACAACTAAGCTCAGAGAAGGCAGTAACCCTATAAGAGCCAGTCTTTGTAGTTGTTGGGAGTTTGTTTTTTTTGGCCCTGCTTCACTGACCGGCACAGCATGTGGACTCTTGTCTTGCTCCATGTTTTTGTTTGTTAGTCAAAAGGCACCTGGGCCTAGAGGTAGCGACACCTAAGCGACAGTCGAAACTCAGACTAGGGAGTCTGCTGCGTCAAGGGGGTGCCCGATTCCGGCCCTCGATTCCACGTCCGATCCGGAGGAGGCTGTGCTGACAAATCGGGAGTTTGGCTCGCAGGTTGCACCGAACGTCTACATTGCGCTTCTTTTGAGAGTGACTGTTCTGGAAGGCGTAGCACGCGGTGCCTGACTTATTTTTTTGCAACATGTGTCCCGGCGCACTTTTTTGTTGTAGACATCCCTTCCTGTGAAACCTGTTTTGGATTGTCAAAGCCATAAGAAAGCGGTCGGCGCCCCGCACATTGCTTGGGCACTGCCGTGCCTATTGTGTTTTAGCTACAGTCTGCTAAATGGCGACGCTGCACGGCAGCTTCCGATGGGTCGTGCACTTTATTCTTGGCGGCTGCTGTAGCCAGTAGCAGACGTATTACTTTGTGC